AATAAACCCAGGCTGAGTATGACGGATTTTGTTCCTCATTACAATAAAATCAGCAAGGAGGTCAGTTTTAAATTCATGGCTACACAGGGCAGCAATATTATCTGCATGATGATAAAGATTAATTTCTTCCAGGGCGAGCTTCATGCAGGCTGGGACAACATTTCCCAGCTGAATAGGGAACAGCAGGCATCAGTTTTGGTAACGAGGACATTGATGGAAGCTGCCAAACTCCTACTGCAGGAACCAGCTTGTTACTTAAAGATGCAATAGGGAAGGAAAGGATGAAATTAAAAAAAAAAAAGTAGTAGTCTCCTTGGAAAGTAAAGGCCCCAAAGGGTTTATGAAGCAGGTTTCTGTGCGAGATAGGTATTCTAAAACTTTCCAGAAGTAAAGGCATTTTAAAATGTAGTTTATTCTGCCCAAGCCGGGACTAGGACCTCCAGGCTGTGCGCTTACCTTGGCTGTGGGGAAGGCCTTTTTGTCCGTTACATCCATGCATGTAATCAGCGATTGTGCCTATTGTAAACCCCACATCCACCATCTGCAGGCTCCCAAGTGGCCAGGCGAGTGCTAAAACCCCAGCCCTATGGGATTAATCTGCAATTTCACACTAAATGATTTTTAAGTATAATTTGTTACGATACAGTGTTATAAAATAAAAAACGGTTAGTGCTGTTGCATTGTAATAAAAGGAGGAAGCTTGTAAAGTTTGCTGCATTTAAAATGATTTGTACAGAGTCCATTTTCACATTAGTTTCACTTAGACATGAATGCCCATGTCTTGGGAAAAGAGCTTTCTGGTAATTGAAATAGCTGCTCTTTACATCTGAGGGAAGGAGTACACACACCAGCTTAAAATCTGTGTACTCATGTGAGGAGGAGGAACAAATTTCTTCTTACTTCGTTCAGCAATTGAAAAGCTGCAGTTTAAAATCTAAATGGAATATTTAGGCTTTGCACTAAGGGGAATGAAGGAATGAATTGTAGGGGCACTAGATAAATAAAGGAGGAGCCACAGAACCCACTCTTTCACATAAAACAAAGCTGACTTGAAGGGAGCAACAAAATGATTTCTGTTTAGGAAGCACTTGCTGTTATCAGAAGCACCCCATTTCATTAAACTGAGGGCACTGATCTTAATGCACACCATTATTTTATCCACACATTTTTAGATAGCCAAATAAAGAAAAATAACTAATAAGAAATTGTAAGAATAAAGTCAGGATATTTTAACGCCTTTTAGTAGAAAAAAAAAGGATGGGTAAAACTTGTAGCAGCTTTTTGGCTGCACCAGACAGAACTGCAGTTCCCAGGCCAAACAGCTCCGAGATAAGGAGGAACCTTCTGATGTTCTGGGCAGACTAGATTGAACATGGAACTCACCAAAGCCCAGATGGAGGGCCCATCTTTTTGCTTTTGGGGGCTCAATTCTCCTGTTCCTTTTTGACATGTTTCTTAAACTAGAGCTTGAGAGAGGGGAGAATAAAGTTAATGTATTCCACAACAATCTTGGTCAATAGCAAAATAAATTCATTTCAACATTCAAAGCAAACACCTTAAAGAATACAGAAATTCAGCTAGTTTTAGGGGGAATTTGCATACAAGGAAGTCAATGTCTCTACAAGCAAATCTTTCCTTTGACTCTGTTGCTTCATTTCACTACTTATTTGCTATGATCTAATTACTCCTAACAAAGGAGAAATTAATCACTGAGCTTTGTTATTTCACAGGTTACACATGATCTTAGATGCCCCAAAATAACTCAGATAGAAACTGAAGAAGTAGAAATAGCTAAAATTTTTCTTTTACCATTCACTGTAAAAACTAGCTTCAATAACATTAAGTGCACTTACCTCATTCCTCAGCAAAAACAACACTGCAAGTGCCAGCAACAATCCTCCATGCATCATATTCTCTCACTTTAAACTACAGAAAATAATAAAAAAAAAAAGGGGGGGGAACCCTTAACATAGGCAGCAAAATAATACACACTATCCATTTCCATACTAGCCTCATAGGCAGCACAACACCTTCCACACAACACTAGTTGTGTGAGGAAACCATATATAACAGGCAAAAACCAGCTGCAGTCAATCTCTCTCAATTTAATCACCTGCTCACAGTCAGCTGCATCACATTTAACGCCACTAAGACATGCCACACAACAGTCATGGAATTTCTGGAAAATAAAAAACAACACAAAAGAATCTTTGGGAGTAACAGCAAGAACATACCCAGTGACTGCTATGGCCTGTTGCTTATTACAGAAATTCTGGGTTTAAAACTGAGTATTTTAAATTTGGTTGCCCTCCTTGAGAAAATTTTCTTCCTAGTATTTAATGAGGGCTGCCTCATTGCCACGCATGAAGGGCTGTTCTTAGGGCTAGGAAGACTGAGGTCTTCCAGTTTAAGCTCTCCCAAGGAGCAGGATGGTGCAGACCCCCTTATCACCCCTCACTTGTTACCCCCCGGGACATCCAGGCTGGGGTACCCAACCCCTTCCACAGGAGGAGGGATCCTGAGGAGCGAGGGAACCTTCACAAGGAAGCCGGTTGAGCGAGAAGCTCCATGCAAGGGCCTCGTGGAGTATGAGACACCCCACACTCTGCAAATGCTGTCAAATGCATCTTTACCCCTCCTACAAATGTCTGGCTACAGGGAACACATTCCAAATATTTTTTAATTAAAATATAGGGTTATGAAGACACTGAGAGAATTGGACTTCGTAAGTTACAAAAATGGCATAGCATATCACTGTAACTTAGTGTAAATGCTCTGTATCTTGGGCTATAGCAATACTACTACTTTATATTTTATGTTGCTTCTTAGTTCTCTGGATGTGCCTGATATATTAAGGCCTAGACGCCAAGAACTATTGATTACTCTCAATTTTCACTGATTGTAACTAAAGGAGAGAGATTTGATGTTCCTTAAACTGAACAGGTTCTCATTAAGAGAAAAGATCTCCCATGTCTTCAAGTCCCATCCCCTTATCCCATGTAATAAACTGATAAACCCAAGGGAATTTTCATTTCATACATGTGAGCGTGTCCACGTATATGTTATTTGAGTACAAACTCCAAACCACGTGCCTCTGACGAAAAGGAAGCAAAGGGGCGGCTGCCAGCCTGAACTGCTTTCCTTGCATTTCCTACTTATCTTTATGTATCAATAGATCTAAATAAATGTGGTTATACACTCGCCATGCTGCAGCCTGGTCCCCGCCATGGACACCCTGGTCCTATGGAGGTTGAGGTCTCCAGCTTGCCATGGTCTTCACCTCATCCATGATTTATAGCTCATCCATTGCCTCCACCTCATGCATCATCTCTCCCTTGTCTCCATCTCTCCCATGGTCCCCAACTTGCCCATGGTCTGCCCATCATCCATGGTCTCCATCGTCTGTTCCTCGTCATGGTCCCACCTTGCCCATGGTTTTGTAATGACCATGATCTCCACCTCTCCCATGGTCCCTTCCTTGCCCATGGTCAACAGCTCACTCATGGTCTCCACCTTGCCCATAGTCTCCCCATCATCCGTGGTCTCCACCTCATGCATTGTCTCCTCCTCGTCATGGTCCTTGCCACTGGTCCCACCTTGCCCATGGTTTCGTAATGACCATGGTCCCCACCTTGCCCATGGTCAACAGCTCACCCATGGCGTCCATCTTGCCCATGGTTCCATATTGACTGTGGCCTCCATGTCGTGCACGGTCTCCAGCTTGCCCATGGTCTCTACTTGCCTATGGTCCCCATTTCACCCATGGTCCCCACCTGCTGCAGGGTCCCCAGCACACGCACCATCCCCATCTCCTGCAGGGTCCGCATGTTGTCCATGCTCCCCACCTCACCCATGGCCTCCCCATTGCTCGGGGCTTCCCCGCCTGTCTCCTCCGCTCCCTCCGGAGCGCGAAGGCGCTCGGCACTGGAGCAGAGCACAGCTCGGCCCTGCTCCCGGCCCGCTCCCCTCACCCCATTCCGGGGAGCCCTGTTGGGTCCCCATCTCCCACAGCGGGACCGAGGCCACGGGGCCCGGCGGGCGCCCCTCGCCCCGCGGGGGCCGCCTCGCCCCGCCGCGCCGGCCGCCTTCCCGCCGCGGCTCCCGCCTCAGTCGGCTCAAACCGCCGGTGCGCGTTTGAAAGCGCGAGCGGGCTGGGCCGCCCGCCCTCCCCCGCTGCCAACGACTCTGCAAAGTTGCACCGAGTGCGGGTGGTTTTTCTTTTTTTTTTTTTTTTTTCCCCTCTTTAATCATTCCCGAATCCCCCCGGGCCCTGTTGGGGGGGTGTGAGGGGAGGGGGAACGGGCGGCGGCGCGAACGGCCGCGCTCCCCTCGCCCTGCCCCGGGCCTGACCCTGCGGGCGGCGCCGCGCGCATGCTCGGGGCTGGACAGCTCCTGCGAGGGAAATTTAAAAACGGGCCGGAGCGGCGGCGCGCAGCCGAGCCCCGGCGGCACGGGCACGGGCACGGGCCCCGCCGAGCCCGCGAGCCGCCCCGCGCGGAGCCGCCGCCGCCATCGCCGCCTCACGGAGCCGCCGCGCTGCCCCCCCCCGCCCCGCTCCCCTCAGGGAGCTGCCGCCCGCCCGCCAGGTTTGTGAAGCGGCGGGAGCGGGCGGGAAGGTGGCGGCGCCCCGGGGGTTCCCTCCCTCCTTCCTTCTCTTCCTTCCCTCCTTCCCTCCCTCCCTTCCTTCCCTCCTTCTTTCCCGCCCGCGCTGAGGGAGCCGCCGCCGCCCGCGGGTGACACCTGCGCGGCCGCCGAGCGCCGCGGTCCCCGCGCGGCCCCGGCAGGGACGGGGGGACTGTTAATTCCCGACGGGATGCAGGGGACCATCCCGCAGCCCGGCGTTCGGTTACACCTTCCCCTAGCCCGCCATTCACTTTTCCACGTTTAGAATTTGTTCCCTTCCTATTGCTGAAATGCTGGATAGCTACTTCATATGAATCTCTCTCTTTCTCCTCCTCTCTCTTTTTTTCCCCCATTTTCCCCTTCTTTTGCAAAAGGAGATGATAGAAAGCAATATCCCATCCATGATGTCAGGAATCCTTAGGAGCGCAGGGCAAAACCACCACCCTCCACTGCAGGAGTACAGGTGAGGCCACAATCTGCTTTTACAAATTATAGCTTTTTGCCGCATCCTTGTAAACTCAAGCATGGAGAAATCCTCCTTTATCTATTTATTGTTTTTCCTCAGAGAAAGCTAACTACTTTTTTTCCCTCGACTCTAGCTGAGGCGTCTGGGCTGGTGATCGGTTACAATGAATTGCTTGTTTGCAAATACCCTTCTCTGAAGTGTTTTGATACCAAATTATGTTTGGTAAATATTGCCCCTAAGCCCTCGGTGGACCTGGTGCTCCCTCTCTGCTCTGCGAGCAGCAACAGAGAAGGCTAAACTCGTTAAATAACAATTACTTCACGTTTCACTTTCAGAGGATGTTTTGCATTGGTAGGAAGCAGTTGGGAACGTCTAAATCCTGCTCAGGAGGTAGCAGAGGATGCTCTCATTAAAACGAGCAATTGCTTAGCACTCCAAAGCGCTGGCATGTGTAAAAGCTCAGATATCAATGGGGCAAATCTAGATTTACTGACAGCCCCTGATAACTTTCCTATAGCAATACAGATTCCCGTAGCAATTTATCATCTAAAAGTATTGCTAGAGGGGAGGAGATGGCTGCGCGTGGGCACGGTGCGCCCGCTTAAGCTACGTTACACCTCGTCACATGATGCAAACTTCCATGAAATACATCGGAGCAGAACACGAGCCAGCTCCCGCAGCACAGCACAGGGCCTTTGGTTTAGATCTTGTTTATATTTTAAAATGAGGATGGGAGACTGTCACCTCCGTGCCAGCCCGAGGGCGCTTTCCTGTGTTTCTGTGGGCAAAAGTGGTCGGCTGCAGGTCGTCTTCTATCGGCCTCTCTCTGTTCAAAATGCAAGCGCTGCCCTGCAGCCTCTTACAGCTCAACAAGTGATTTGTTATACCCTCCGGAGCCTCTATGGAGACAGGTTTGTGGAACTCTGTTTTGCTGTTTACTGAAGCACTGTTTGCTCTAGGTGTTTTGTTGGCTCTGTAAATATTTGTAAAGAAACGATTCAGTATTTAATAGAGGGGGTATATGAGAGAGACTTCTGGGTACTTATATTTAAGTTGGTGTTGGTGCCCTGAAGAACACACAGCCTTAACAAAGGCCCTTGTTATGGAGGGAGCTCTTCTTAACTCATAGCTGCAGAAAATAAAACATTCTTTTTGAGAAAAATAGGATTTATCTTACTGTGAGCAAGAGTTTCTTCTTTTATTTTGAGGTCAACTGCTTCTAAAACTTCTTTTAATACTCCCCTAAGCATTTTTAACTTAGAGATCCCAGTTCTCTAAAGCTTTATCCCATTTGTGATTTTTTTTTCATGTAGCTTTAAAGTTAATTATTTGACCTCATTTAATAGTGGCAAATTCTGATAAAAATGCATAAAATCTGCATTGCACTATAAATGCAGAGCTGTATTTGTCCTACTTCATGAGAAAACACTTTGGATTATGTAAAAGAAAATCTTTTAGACTGAATGATTTTAAGAAAAGAATAGACCTGTCAAATTCTATCAGCTCTGTTTACTCTCCTGCTGTCACCACAGTCCAAGACTGGAACCCACAGTCCCGAGTTCTCCATGGGGGAGCATCAAGGCTCCACAAAATGGGGAATAGCCTCCAATTAGTGAGCGGGAGGCTGGGGCTGTGCTGAGAATACTCTTCTGTCTCACTTAGAGCCTTTCAATTGGGCACTTGGACTTAGAGGAGACCAGACTTTCCAGGGAGCGTACAGGAAGAAACATTCAAAAGAGACAGCGTGTGGGCATGTAAGCAGAGGAAAAAATCAATAAATACCCTGAATTTGTCCTGAAGTTTAAGCATAACGGTTAAAGCTTTGTGGCATATTTTGTTTTTCTTTTTGAAAAAAAAAAAAAAAAGAAAAGGGTAAAAAAGATGAGCGAGGCAAAACAAAGTTCCTCTTTTTCTTTTTTTTTTAGCAGATACTTAAACTCTTTTGTTCTAAAGTGGTTGTAGTAAATTTGACATAGCAGATAGCAATCCAATTCTTGTCACTACTCTGAAGTCCAGGGTAGGACAGAATAATGCTTTCAGACAACTATCTTTTCTGTGGATTCAGCTATGGGATATAAAATATTCTACCTAGGAGCGATTAAGGGCCATTCAATTTTCCCTGCTTCCTACATTCTACGGAGCTGTCACCATCTAGCTATCAATACAGAGTCATATTTCATATTAGCAGATGCTTTTCTCACTCTTCCAAAGAAAATACTGGTGCCTTTTGTATATTCGTAGCTGCAGTAGTGATCAATATTTCTAAAGTTTTTATGTTTCAGGGAATAAAGGCAAAGGGCCTTAACAGTCTGAGAAGCAAGAGAAGTAAAAGATTTGCTGTGATGTCTACAGGTACCGAGTCAGATCTAGTGTACAAGTCTTTAGCAAGACTTCTCCTCTTACAGATGAGAAGTAAATAAGAAATATTACCTTACCTTTGCCCTGGAAAAGGTGGGCCTGGACTTGGCTTGCAATAAAACTGAAGGAAATTTGGATTCTTTCCCAAAGAAATTTTAATATTGTCATCTTCAAAACTGTCCTAAAAAATGTTGGCTTTGAAATACAGCAGTATGTGTTTTTCTCAGTCACTGTCCCATTTTCAACTATAAATAGTCATGTGTGATTTACTACATATTATAAATCATGACAAGAAAACCAGGCTTTTAGGGAGGGAACAAAAAGTAACTTGCTAAGGACTACTCTGCATACATGGAAATCCAGATTTAAAGAATCAGTACAAAACCCTGCCTTTCAATACGGTCTCTATCTACTTCTTTTAAAGAAGTAACTAAAATGAATATTTCCAGCTGAAGAAATGACATTACTCTTTATTGTGATGCAGAGTTAAGACATAGATCAACTAGACAAAATAACTGCATGTTTTGCAGTTCAGTGTTTTGTATAAAGACTTTTTGCTTCTTTTACTGTATTGTAACTTTTTACTATTATATACAAAGTTGTTAGGAGGTTTATGTAGTGTTTGGAAGGCCTTGCTGTGCATTTTCTAGTCACGTCATGTTAGTCATGCCATGCATTTTTAGTCCTAGCCTAGACTAAAAATAGACATCATTGTAGTTGACCGAGTAACAACTCGATCATAAATCATTCAACATATTAGTTGATTTTGTCTGTCCCTCTCATTTTAAGTTGCCCTGTAGTTCTTAAATAGCTCTTTATTAGTTCATTAGATTTTCTGATTGAATTTCTTCCATGATAATTCCTGTCCTAAGCAGTTATGATTCTGCTTTCTTTAAGCACTGATTCAGCCGTTACCCACATTTGGCAGTAAATGCCTGAAAATGTGTAACATTTGGTCCTGTATATAGTTTAGCCATGTATATAATTCCCTTCAAACCCACAGCCACTGCATTCCACACATTCTAGACAGGACTGCATTAAAGTGATGGAAAAAGGTGGAAAGTTTTTGCTTTTTACAGCCTAGAGCACATTTTAGCTCTCCTAAGTTGTAGTCTCATGTCTAGTTTTGAACTTGGGCTTCTGAGGAACAAGCTACAGCCAAGTACCTTGGACAGGCAGCGCTGGGGATACGCGGAGCCTGGGAGTTTGCACGAAGCAAACCAGTGCAGACAAAAGGTTACAAATGCATAACTAACAAAACGGTAATTGTTCCTGAAGAAAATGTCAGTGTCCATTCCCTTGACACCATGTGTGTCTGACAGGGAGTGAGATAATGACCCGACGTGTCGGAGGAATTTCATTGCACTAGTTGCTTCATTCTTTCAAAAAAATGTGAGAAACCTCCTAGGAATCAGTCAAACTCGGGCCACTATGGATTGATTTAAGTGGATTAGCTCAACTGTTTCCTATGCGGCTCCTGAAATGTGCTAATCAGTATTAATAAAATATTGTGGCCCTTGCTCCTCAAATTGTCTTGCAGTTGGTGACAGCTCTAGAAATGTGCTTTGCATCGGATGCTGTCTTGTGACCTTCTAAGGTGATTTTGTTTCCAGGGAAATCAGGGGTGAGTTTGTAGATTACCTCCTAAAAGGAGCCCGATCTCCGCTTCAAAACAAGAAAGCAGGAAAGGAATTTGGACTTTTTCAGCATTCCTGTGAGCAGACAGATGTTTGTGGCATAGTGTTCTTGATTTACCACAAAAAAAGTCTCATGTGTGAACACATGTGAAAATGTTGCATGACTTTAGCAGCAGCTAATGCAAGGGACACGGGTGCTCACCATAGTGCCAAAGGGTAGTATGTTTTACCTAGCTTTAATGCTGGCATAAGCAATCGCATAAGAGCCTAGGCATATGATCCTTGTACTAATAAGTAGCAATTGAGACTATATTAAAGGAAAGGAGGTAGACAAATTTAATCTCTTTTACAGAAAACAGTCATATAGTACCAGATGCTTCAGCACACTTTGGCATCGAGATATTTATTTTGACATAAGTCAAAGTCTGTGCTGGCTTCGCCGAGAACTTCCTCTGAGGCTTAAGCAAATCACTGAAGCAAAGCACTTGTAAGCTGGTTTCTCCTCATCCCATACCAAAATGCTGCAATGAAGTGTGCTGAAATGCAGAGCTGGCAAGTATAAAAGTCTCCAGGATCACACCTGCAGCCTGGTTTGTTACAGCCTAAGTGCCTTTGCAGCAAGTTTGGGAGAAACGTCTTCTCATCCGAGCCATGGTGTTAGAAATCACTTGTGCTTGTTCTAAGGATGTTGCGTAATCACAAACTGAAGAGAATGTTGATTTGTAACCTTAAGATGAAGTCGTCACAGGGCTCCTCCTCTTTGTCACTCGCACTGGGTAAGCCACTGCAAACAGCTAATTAGAAATCTGCATCCCTGGCTGGCCTCTCTATTGAATGGCTGTATTGCTGGCTCACGGACTCAAGCGTCAGTGCTGGCAATCGTAACAAAACCAGCCCCTTAAGTGAGGGACAACTCAACAGTCAATGTCCACTAAGCCAAATGCGACCAAGGTGGTTCTGCCTGACTTTGTTTAGCACCAGCTATGACTTAGAACAAGACTTTGTTTAGGACAAGGTGCCACCATGCAGGAAGGAGCCCTGCGACGAGGTGCAGCTAATGCAGGAGTCCAACCTCTCCGTGGCTGCAGCATAAGGAGCTCCGCAAAGGGGACGTCTTCGCATTTTTGCTGGTTCTGAAAGTGTAGCCTTTGACTGTGTGGGCTAGCTGATGGCCAGGATCTATGTCGCTGATTAGGTAAAGATTTAGGGCAGTGCATGATAGAGTAGATCGCAGTGACTAGCGCTATCATTGAGCATTTCTCTATCGCTTGCATTAGATCTCCACGCACTTCTCAGAGGAGGCACCTTCTGATAATGTGGATGAGAACCTCAATGGCAGGATTCTTGCTAGTGCATTTGCCTTTCTAGCACAGAAACCGGTACTGTTTTCCATAGAGGTTTGAAAGGACAGGGGTAAAAACAAGGTTGTGGGTTTTAACCACACCTTTAAAAAATTAAGTGCACGTTTCCTACATGTTTGGTAGCCTTTTATGCATAGGCGCTTGGCAGTTCAGCATACGCGCCAGGCAGCCCTGGGGAACGTGCAGCTGGGGACATTTTCAGTAGTGTGCATTAATTATAGCGTATCACTATTTATCTCATTTACATGCATTGAAAGGAAAGGGCTGCTTTTACCACAGTGCCCCATTGTGCCCGGGGCTGCGCACACCCCGAGGACCACGGGGGCTCTGACTCCCAATGTTTACCCTCTGACGGGAGGGGATGGTGGAGGCAACAGAAGCACAACGCATAATGTTACTGTACGTGTCTATACGTTTGCATTTGCCTTGGCACGGGCAGTTTTCGGGTCAGAAAGATCAAACCTGTGAGATTAAACCGCAGGTGCTACCGGGCATGGCTCTCTCTGCAGGTCAGACGAGCATTTTTTGGTAACGTGGGATGCACATGGAGCCTGAGCCTGCAGGAGCAGCTGCTTTCAGGCTCTGATGTACCCGGGCATTAAAACACCGCAGCCAGGCAGCTATGGACATACCCTAAGCAATATCTCGTTCTTTAAGCCTAATGAAATTAATGTGTTGCTTTGGAAGACAACCTGAAGAATAATCCTTTAACGTGAGATATTCATTTTACCTGATTAAATAAACTTTTTTTCCCCCTCCCATTATCAAGGGGAAAAAAAAAAGTCTAAACGGGCAGTTTAGCAGATTTTCTGCTGCTGCATCTTCCTATCTGTTTACCACGGCACCTAACGACGACTGCCCCAAGGTAAGGGCACAGCCACCCCCTCGCCGCCCATCAGATGCTGCCTGCGTGGAAGGGAGGTGCGCGGGCCGTGCCGCAAGGATGCCAATGGGGACGCGCTCGCCGCAAGCAGGAGGAGGGCAGGTAGATCCCGCCGGCTCCTCCGTGCGCCGGGAACGCCGCCGGCATTCCTCGGAACACCTCTTGGAGACCGTGCTTTGGGTGGCCGCGAGGCCAGCGGCACCCGGGGGTCCCCAGGGCCGCGCTGCCCCGCGCGGGGCTGACCCCGCTGCCCCCGACCCTGTCACTTGTCACCGGAGCCGCCTGTGCCGAGCGCTGCCGGGGCCGGGGTGCCAGATGGCCGGGGTGCGCCTGTTGTGCGGCGCCTGTCATGCAGCCAGATTAATGGGAAGTTTGTAAAAAAAAAAAAAAAAAAAATAAAAAAATCAAAAAAAAAAAAAAAGTAAAAAAAAAAAAAAAAAAAAGTTTGTAAAAAAAAAAAAAAAAAAAAAAGGGAGAAGGGGGGGAAACAATTAAGCAGGAATCCCAAAAACAAAGCGGGCCACGTGCCGCCGGGCAACAGTCGCTGGCGCCACAAAGGGTTATCGGCTTACAATGAATGGGGCCAACTGTTGCAAACGACATGAGCCTGCCCAGTTTTCAAACCATTTAATGCTCCTGTTTACTTCCAACCCAGCCAATCTGCGGGCCGCCACAGCGGTCACCTGATGCTCTTTTTATGTATTTAAGTCCCCAGCCTCACCAAATAACTGAGCACTGGTAACCATGGCAATACTAATTATTGCACTATAACTACAGTAGGAGCAAGGGGTAGGCTGAGAGAGAGACTTGGGGATCTTTTTGGCCAGGATTTGAGTTGTTGGCTCCTACTCCTTTTTTTTTTTTTTTTTCCTTTTAAGAATCTTCATATAAAAAAGCAAGTCTCATTCTGCTTCAAAGAGCTCCCAGATAACAGTTTCAGGAACTGTGAGAGGTGTTTCTGGAAGTCCCGAACAGAGGAGCTGCACGTTGCTGGTCAGCCAAGCTGGCACTTTCGCTTGCTCTCTTGAGCTGTTTTGGGCTCATGCAAGGCAGAAAAGAAGCTTCAGCAAGAGACCACATCTGTTTAATGCTTCTACACTGTCATCTGGCCATGAGCTCATGTTAGCCCCACGCAGCTGCCTTTAACGCATCCACGAGAGCTCTTTAAGTCTTTGCTTTACAAGCAGAATCAACAACACCCAACTGAACTGAGAGAGAAAGACATTTTTCCGGACCTCAATCCCTTTGGGTTTACCCTGACTATCCAGTGATAACTTCCAATTAGTGCTTTACTCCACCAGACTTTCTAATACTGTTTAATGTGAACTGTTTAACATGAGAAGAGTTGAGCCCTTCACTTGTGATAAATCTTTCTTTGACTTTAACTGGAGTTTTGAAAACACAGGAGCGTATGAGTAATGCAAATATACTTCAGTGTTTCAGTTTTGTGTCACACACTCTATCAGAAGGAAAACAAAGCCAGATGGATGGAGCAGCAGAACATGTCAAGGCAGAGCTGGAAACCAAACCAAGTCTGTCGTAGCTGTGCCTTGGCTCTGCCAGCTACAGCCAGCCTGGGTGGTGTGTATTCACTCACTAGCTCTTCGGTCTAATTATTTACTAGGTCAAAGACTGGCTGAAACGCAGGGTTCCCCATGCTGCCTGAATCCTAGTTATTTATCCATAATTTCCTATATCTGAATGGGAGAAGCCGATGGTTCATTCTGCAAAGTCTTGCTTCTGCAGCAAAGCTCTTCTCTCTACCCCAGTGGGATAAGAGGCTGGGAAGGTTTCTCTCCAAAAGCAGCAGCTCCCGTTGGCTCTTGAGGATCTGGGCACAGAAATGTCTCCCAAGGGTGCCTGCTTGATCACCAGGCTAATGCAAAGCAGTACTGTCAAAAACCAGAGAGCTGCTTCCACACGGAGGCGAAACAAGTGGAAATCTGTGACAAATGCGAAAATAATGACTCAGCTGCATTTATTTCTAGGCAGTTTCTCTTCCAGGTTTTCATCCTTCTTCCCTTACGATGCAGCACAAGAAGTTTTCTTTAGATTTTTTTTTTAGGCTTGTGGAACTGGTTACATTAGTCTCAAGTTCCACGTGCAGCGTGTTTCTATGTCACCTTAACAACTCCATCAAATCTGCCCTGTGCTATCCGCTTGCTAACAGACAAAGAACCTTTTAGATTCTTCTACTTGTTTTTTTCCATTTGGTTTTCAATTTCTCCAATGATTTTGACTTAAGTGGAACTAGTGCCTTAATTCTCCTCCTCCCTGTGTTAAACAATGGAAAAAGTGCATAGAAAACACTCGGAATTTGGTGTCTACAGCTCAGTCCTGAGCTGACATAGGTCCCTGCTGAGGAATCTTGTGCATCGTGTACCACTCAGCACACAGTTGGCTTAGTTAGGACAGACCTGTGCAGAACAGACTCCTGAACTGGTCCTGGTTCAAAGCAGAAGCGCTTCAATGTGTCTTAAGTAAAATCTTTCAAGCGGTGCAGAGGAAATCAGGATCAAAACGTGACTGATTCCTAGCTAGGTGTGAAACACAGGGTACCCTGGGGATCCCCAAGGCTGATGCTGCTTTCCTGCTGGTGCGTCAGCACCCCAGGCACCCTGCTTCCCGTGGGGCCACCCGAGCAGCATCTCTGCTCTTCGCTAACCTTCCGCACTCTGTTCCAGACTCGTGGCCTCCGACCCGTCCCAGCTGAGTGAAGATGACCTCCCCAGCGACTTGCAGTCCTTGTCCTGGCTGACGTCCGTCGATGCTCCCCGGCTGCCGCCCGTGGCCGTGGGCAGGATGGATTTCGGCCTCGGCGCCCCCAATGCGATGCTGCAACACACAGGTAACCTGGCAGGGCGTCAAAGGTGCTGCTGGAATGGCACAACCTCCTGCCCCCTTTCCTTTCCTCCACACGCATTAGCTTCCCCATTTGCAGATTCATTTTAAGTACATCATATTTCACTTCCTGCCAGAGGACCCAGAGCCTGCTGCCCTCTGATAAGGACATCATTAGTATACTTTAACTTCAAGAGGCAACAAGTCCTAGCAGGCACTGCACAGATCCTAGGATCTGATTGACTTTTTTCTCACCTCGGTTGCTGTTGCCTTCTATGAGCTTGGGCCAAGATATTTAAGACTTGCATTTCAGAGGTTTTCAACAGCTTTGGAATTAGGTAATTAATCTTTCTTGTTTGTTTCAACATTGATAAAGCTAAGAATATCTCATTTACCCCATACCTGTGTGCTTCATAGAGGCTTGCAGCCTATGTTCATTGAAAGCCTTTCTTTTGTTTGGGAACGTCCTTTTGCTCCCTAGTTCCCTACAGCATTTGGCTGAGAGAGCTCCGTGTATCCCCTTGCTTTACCACAGAAATCCTTCTAGAGCACAGCTCGTGTTGAATATAGAGTATTTTGCTTTTGTAAGACACTATGGGTGTGACACTGCTGCTGACTGTTAAGCAGCTGCCATCTTTCTCCCTCTGCCTAAGAAGTTTTAGAAGCAGCTGATGTCATCTTCACAATCTGTGAAATACTCAGGGCTCTTTCGGATGGAAAGCTCTATAGGGGTGTGACTATCCACTCCAGAGCTTAGCTCTCTTCAATGGCATCCATTAAAAATGAATATCAGCCTACTTTTCTGAAGTGCATTTTCATGTGAGCATTCACTGGATTCCCTTTTTCCAAAACAGGTCCCGTGGTGAGCAACATGCACTCGACAGCAGCATCTGCAGCGATGATCCACGTCCAGGCCAGCCTGCCACAGGGAATGCTGGGGCTGAATCCTATTTCCACACATGGAGCAAATGTAAGAGCAGGCCCTGGTGGCTCCTTATTGCAATACTTCTTAGGAAAAGATGCCGGTATTTTTGGGACTGACAGATCTTTTATCTCTATCCCAGCAGATGAGCCAGTACGCTGTAGGTGTGCAGCCCTCTCCAAGTCTGCAAACGCAGCAACAGCTCTTCCCTCCTCCTCATTCACAGCAGGTGTTTGCCATAGCACAGAGCTCACCACAGGTACTGTTACTTGCTTGCGGTCTGTCTTAACAGGAGTCTCCTTCTCTGGAGGTCTTCCAAACCCTCCTGGATGCCACCCTGCGCCACATGCTCTGGGAGTCCCTGCTGGAGCAGGGGGCTGGACTAGATGCTCTCTAGAGGTCCCTGCCAACCTCAACCATTCTGTGATTCTGTGACTAACATACTGCAAAAATCATGTCCAGAACTCTCGTAAGAGAAGAATCCCCCTAAACCTGCATACCCAGATGCCCTCTGTATCTGACACTGTCCTTCTCTCCTCCTGCGCGCAGTGCAACCCTGCAGCGATCTACAACGCGCCCTACGGCACCCAGCCGCACTACTCACAGCCCCGCCTGGCCCCTCACTCTGCCCAGGAGCTGCACCCCAAGCACTACCCCAAGCCCATCTATTCCTACAGGTGAGTAGAGAACAGGCAGCGTGTTGCCCAGCCTGAGCTGGAGTGATTTTAAAGGCTGCAGGTCTGGTACTACATGAGCATTCAGTTCCTGTGGAGGGGAACGAAACCCCATCCTTCACACGAGCTCTGTGGAAGCTGCAACTAGGGGGTGAGCAGAATGAACAAAGTGGTCCCTGGACACTGGAACAGAGGCAGAGAGCAAGCACCCAAAAATGTAAAATCTACAGGATCACAGGGCAGCCTCTGAACACTCGCGAGCTGATTAAGGTTTCCTGGGGTTAACCAAGCACCGCACCCAGGATCACCCAGGGGTTCACATCCTAACGGAGATGGGCACAAGGTTGCTGGGCCAGCAAAGACCGGTGGCTAAGCGTGCACCAGCTCTTGGGATTTCCTGGGCTTCTCTCTCTTGCAGTTGTTTGATTGCAATGGCACTGAAGAACAGCAAAACAGGCAGCCTGCCCGTGAGTGAGATCTACAGCTTCATGAAGGAGCACTTTCCCTACTTCAAGGTATAGTGCACCCCAAATGCGGAAGCAGAACAGCACAAATACTTGGGGTTCACACTTTGTGCCTCTTGCACTAACTCCCTCTGTGCCCTTCAGACAGCACCCGATGGCTGGAAGAACTCAGTGCGCCACAACCTGTCCCTGAACAAGTGTTTTGAGAAGGTGGAGAACAAGCTGAGTGGCACCTCCCGCAAAGGGTGCCTGTGGGCCCTCAACCCTGCCAAGATCGACAAGATGGAAGAGGAGATGCAGAAGTGGAAGCGAAAGGACATAGCTGCTATTCACAGAAGCATGGCCAACCCAGGTAGGGCTCCTGCTGTGCTCAGCTTCTTGGGGTATGGGAGGTAAGGAGAAAAGAAAACGCTTTCAGGAGCTCGATATTGACAATATCAATGGGGGTTTTTGCTGCAAAACCTGCAATGTAGTCCAAGTTAAAAGTTCTCCTTTACTTTGACACTAGCCTCATGGAAACTGTCTGAAAGTTCTTGTTCAAATCTTATTTAAGATACAGACTAGTTTGGAGTATCCTGTCCTGCAGGTTACCTGGAGAGGCCGCGTTAGTTCAGCAAACGTCACTGGTAGCGGCCTGGTGGCTCCTGTGATGGTTTCTTTTGTTAGGGATAACCACAGAGGTTGACTGGTGCTAGGGGCAAGGAAATAGATGGCGTTTCTTTGCTCACTTACCATTCAAGCCTGTCTTCTGCACCGCTGCCCAGGCAGTGAAAGACACTTCCAGTGTAGAGCATCACGGGTGGCTGCGCGCGCTGCTGAAACGCTCGAACAAACGGGTTAAACTCTTTCTCTTTTCCGCCTCGGGTGCTGCTGGCGCAGAGGAGCTGGACAAGCTGATCACGGACCGGCCGCAGAGCTGCCGCCGGGCCGACAAGCAGCCGGAGCCGGAGGCGTCTCCGCTGCGGCGCGTGGCCGGCGCCCGCGTGGCCGTGTCCCAGCTGCAGCCGCCCACCATGACGCTGTCGCTGCAGTCGCTGCCGCTGCACCGCGCGCTGCAGCCGCAGGCCCGCATGGCCCCGGACTCGCCGGCTCCAGCCCAAACGCCGCCTCTGCACACGCTGCCCGACATGAGCCGCAGCCCTGGGCCCCAGCACCCGCTGGGCCGCGCGCCCCCCGACTTCCTGAGCGTGCCAGCGGACATGAGCACCGAGGTGGACGCCCTCGACCCAAGCATCATGGATTTCGCTCTGCAAGGTAGGCGGGAAGGAGGCTGCGGTAGGAACACCGAGCACAACACGCACTCGACCAGGCAGCCAGGGACCCGAGCAGGGCGCGCGGGCCTGGGGCCGAGCTACGGGCTCGTGCTGGGCGCTGCCCTCGCAGCAGGGCTCCCCTGGCTGCCTCCACGCGCTTCTGCGGGAGCAGGGAAAGCCCTCGTGGGCTGGGCACAGGCTGGGCCACCCCGGGAGCTGCATGTGGGACCCTGCACCCCTCTCTGTCCCGGGAACCAAGCTCCCCCTTTGCAAAAGCCTAGCGTGGGGCTTGCAGAGCCAGGGCGAGGGGCCTGCCTAGCAGAGCTGGGGCAGGGGAAGGCAGACGGAAAAGGTCCTGGCTCCTGCTGGAAGTGCCTCGGGGACGGGGCCTCTTGTGCTTTTGCCCTCCAAAAGGTACCGTCCCCAGGCAGCACTTCCTCAGCAGCAGGTAGAGCCTTTCTGCAGCGGAGCGAGCCCCGAGCGCGGCTGGGGCTGCTGCCGCGAACGGACCTTGATCTTTTAAAGGTAACATCTGGGAGGAAATGAAAGACGACAGCTTCAGCCTGGACGCGCTGGGCGCCTTCAGCAACTCCCCGCTCCACTTCCCAGACTGCGAGCTGGGCGGCGGCGGCCTCGCGGGCGGCTCCGGCGACCGGCCCTGCTCGGACCTGCAGGTCACGGGGCTCTACACCACGTACGCGGCCCTGGACAACGTCGCCGCCGCGCCGTACATGAGCACGCAGGGCTCCAAAGCCATCGCGCTGCTCTAAGCTCTGCGCCGCTCCCGGGATCTCAAGCTCGGGGCCAGGTTCTCCTGCCCCTTCAAACCCGAAGGTGAACGCAATAAAACAGCTCCTCCTGCAGACGCGTGCAGAGTGTTGGCTATTTACGGGGCACAGCACGTGATGCCAAAATAAAACGCAGCCAGTAGCATCCCCTTCACCCCAGCACGAGCAAGGAAGGGACACGGACAGTTGTCCTCCAGGACTGGTGAGCTTGTAAGGAGCACATGGAAGGCAGCAGTAGGATGTTCTAGAATGTGACTAGTCCCATTAAAGCGACCACATTAAATGACACCGCTCTGGAGCACCCGGCCCCAGCCCTCGCCTGCTCCCAACGTCTCCTTAAATCACCTAATAACTAGTGCCACCGACCAAACGCAGGCAGTGGCTGCGGCTACCTGCAACGCTTAGTTGTGTCAGAACAACTTTTAACTTATTGTCATGAGGTAGGAAAAAAGGAGGGGGAAAAAACATTAAATGGAAAATCAAATCTCCAGCACAGGAGAGCTGCTAGAGCTGGGTTTAAGAGCAGAGCCGGCCCCACGGGGTAAGTGGGACCGCTGAATTAGTGAACTGATTGCTGGCTAGATGGTGTAGGAGTTAGGCCTGTCTAGGGTTAAAGAACTAGAGCTGTTTATAGTCCTGTGGATTGTGCTTCTGTCTATTCTTGTTCTAGGCAGTATTACTATTTGTAAATTTATTTATATTTATTGTTACGAAGAGAATTATGTAAACTGAGCACTGTTCAATATTTTTAAATGCTGCAGTAACCTGGTTTACATCAACTAAATTATTCATAATCAAAAATGCAATGTTTTAATTACTTGTGTTACGCTACTTTTCTTTTAAACGAGCACTTTTGATACTGTGAAACTCATGCTTTTTAAAAATAACATTCAGAGACCAAATACTGTAAACTGTACTGTACCAACTCACAGTAGCCTTTCTTTCCTAATTATTCCAAGTAAAATAAATTCTACTGTAGATTTTCAAAATTTGCAAAACCTGCTTTATATTTAGTAATATTAATTGGGAAAAAAAAAAAAGGAGGAAACATCCCAAGCTCTGAAGAGCAAACTGTAAGAGTACTTCGAAATTTAGCATTTAGCCTCCTCATACCTCTGCGGCCACCAAGTAATATTTATATTTTGTGTGTTTTGTCTGTTCCTGTGCATTAACAGCAGTTCTTAGTCTGTCATTTCCCAAAGGAGCATCCTTGGCGCCCGGGAATCCCTCTCTCCTACCCCACTGTCGGGCTGAGGCAGAACCCGGGTCCCTGGAGCCGCTCCAACCCGCAGGGAAACCCAGCGGCGGCCGCGTTCCCAGGCGCCCGCTCCGCCGCGGGCCAGGAAGGTGCCGGCTGCTGGAGCCGCTCCGGGGGGATGAAACCCCCTTGGGAACACGGCGCTTGGACTGTGAACCTGCCCGCGGCGCCCCGGGCGCACACGGACACGGGGAGCTCTTCCCCAAGGATGCTCCAAGGCATAATTTATTGTTCAAGAACAAATGTGGTTAATGGTCATTTGCTGGTGTCCTCTAAAGTGTCTTCATTTTTTTAAATAAATGATATTTCTTAGCACTAAACCTGGGTCACTTATGTCCTGTATTGCAATCCCTCTGGTGTCCAGCAAGCTCACGCTGCGGCTCCGCATTAACCATTAACTCCTGGGCAACTGCTGCCCAAAAACTACCCCAGCAGGAAGACAATTTCAAACCCATCAGAGCCGACCGAGCTGCTCGTTTCGTCCCCCCAGAAGCCAGAACCGGAGCCGCGGGGGTGCCGGTCTGAGCCCGCCCCGAGCACGGTGCGGAGCAGCAGCCGCGGGCCCGGGTCAGGGCTTCCAGCAGAGTAATATTTGCAGGTTTTAATGCACGAAGCCTTTCCCACATGCCAACATACTACTGAAAGGCCAACAAATAAACAAAAAAAACTCTGTACCCAAAGCCATGGTGGGAATGTGATGTTCCCACTGCGGCGACCACAGCCGCGGCACTGAGGCCGTCTGCTCCTGGCCACGGATCCCGGTCACATCTATGGATCGCTCCCAGCCAAGGGAAGAACGAGACGAGCTGCTCCCTGCGCTGACTTAGTTTATTGCTCAGACATCACTGGGAGGCTCCTCCTTAAACAAGGTCTCCCCGTGGTGGCGCCCGGGAGCCACCGCACGCGCAGGACGAGGCCGCTCCGCGCGCTGGGAAACGCGTCCGACCCGCTGGGGTTGGGGGGCTACAGATGGGCGCCAGCGCTCGCAACCAGGACACGGTGAAAAGCTCTCCCTTCTTTCCCCAACTTCGGTCCCTGGAGCCTCGTACCTGGCGCCAGGCTTGGCTCAACCTGATCTCTGCAAAACCGCCCCCGTAGTGAAGCTGTCCTGGCTCCCGGGGGGCTGCGCGTGGACGGAGCCACCACGGCCACCGCCGAGACGCAGACACCGGCGCCGCTGCTGGGGACGCGGCTCAGGCCGGGCCGGAGCTCTCCACGGTGGCCAGGAGGCGCGCGACCTGCGCCCGCTGCGCGCGGCTCACGTGCTGAGCCATGTGCACGATGCAGTCGCCGGCCAGCTCGGGGTTGGCTTGGAGCAAGCTGCGAGGCGGGGGACGCGGCTGGCACCGCGCGCCGGCCGTGACGCCTGCGGCCGCCGCCGCTCCCAGCCCCGGAGGTGCTGCCGGGGCCTTGGGGGCAGCTCCCGGGCACGGACCCACCTGCGGATCTGCTTGAGCGCGTAGTCCCGCTTCAGGTGCTTGATGTTCTCCCGAATGACCGACTGGGCGCCGTCCTCCTCCCGCAGGTGCTTCTCCAGCCACTCCACCACCACCTGGTTGTTGTCCCACAGGTAGCCCTGGGGACGGCGGCACCGTGAGGGGGCAGCTCCAGCTCCCAGCCAAGCCCCCCTCCTCCTCCTCACTGTGTCCTGGGGATTTATGCCCCTGATTAGTCCCAAGGGCAGCACGGGAGGCTCGCAGAGCAAGGCGGCCACGGGCCCAGGGCGGCAGGTGTGGGGATGTCCCGCTACCTTTGCGGCTCCCTCCGTCTCCATGAACCAGCGCCGCAGCATGGACTGGATGTGGATGTGGCTCAGCTCCCTGTTGGCCTTCAGGATCTCGGCCTTCACCACCTCGGCCAGCAGCAGCCGGCGCAGGCGCCAGTAGAGGAAGGAGCGGGCGCTCTTCCACTCCAGGATGTCCTGTGGGCAGGAGGGCGCGTGGAGCCGCCGCCGCCGGCTGCTGCGGCGCCCGCGCCCGGCCCCGCGCCCCGGCTCACCGCGATGACGCCCTTCTCCTGCATGCGGCCCGGCGTGTCGTGCAGGTCCGCGAAGTGCACGGCCACCTGGTAGTACATGGGCAGCAGCAGCTCCTCGCGGGCCTTGAGCTGCCTCTCCAGCTCCTTGCGCTCCGTGTCCGCCAGCTCGGGCCTACCTGTGGCCGGGAGGTCTCCCTTGGGATCGTTTGTCACCCCACTTAGCTCAGCTGCAGCTGGGCTCTCAGATGTTCATTATCTCAAAGCACAGGAGCAGCTGCTGGGGGTCCAGCATGGAGCCCAGCACCCTCTGCAGAGCCAGGGTGCTCCAGGACACATGTACAGGTATATAATGTACAACTACATCCTGCTTGGACACTGCAAAAGGGGCTCCTGAGGGTCTGTAACACCCATGTAGGGTTTGAGCCTCGTGTCGGATGCACTGCTCGCAACGGGGGGGAAAAGCTCCTCCCTTACCCAGCTGCTCGACAAGACGGGCGTAAACTGCATCGATCCTCCTCATGGTCTTCACCAAATCTTTCTTCCTGAACTTGATCTCTACCGTCCCCCCAGGTTCCAAAATGCCACCCCTGGTAAAGAAGAGAGTGTTAAAGCAGGGACTGGCCTGCAGGAGGCAAATAAATCCCGGGAGTTCTGTGGGGCCACGTGGACCGACCTGCTCTCCTTGTCCGCATAGAGCTCCACGTAGAGAGGGTTAATGGTGGAGTCGAGGACCACCCAGGAGCCCCCGCGCAGCTCCGCGTGCGGCGGGATGTACACGAGGACGGGCTGCTTGAAATCCCTGAGGCTGTCGACGATGGAGGCGCCGAACTTCAGCATCTGGTCGTACATGTCTGCGAGGCGAGGGGCGGTGAGCGCGCGCCGTGCCGAGCGCGGCCGCGGCGCGCCGCGCGGTACCTTTCATGCCGCCGGAGAAGCCTCGCCAGTTGGCAAAGATCATCAGAGGGAGGCGCTCCCGGTTGAAGTCCCGAATAGCTTGGGCAGTTTTAAAAGCCGAGTCTGGAAACCACACCTGCCCGGCCTGCTGGATTATCTGAAATGAGGCGAGCGGGAGCGCTCAAAAACTGCAAGAGGAGTTGACCAAACACCAGTCCTTAAAAAGACTTGGGAATGGCAGGAAGATTATGGCAAGCAGCGGTTTCTCCTTCCTTCCTCCTGGATGCGCTGGAGCCTGCTCATCCCAACGCACCTTCGCCTCCGAGTCGGGGTTGGCGGGATCCGCGGGAATCGTCACCTCCACAGTGCGGGTCTCGACGGCGATGACGCCCACGGGGAGGCCCCCGAGCCTGCGGCGAGGCAGGGACTCAGCAGTCCCCACAGAGGCCGGGCCTCCCCCTTCCTCCCCACCCCGGGAGCAGCACTCGGGCCCGGCCGCGCTCCCAGGAAGGTCCCGGTGGTGCCAGGGCCCACGTCCCAGGAGCAGCGGCCGGGCAGGGACCGCCCCAGTACCTCGCTCTGCCGACCACGACCGTCTGCGCCCAGGGCTGCATGATCTCCAGGAAGCTGCCTTGGTCGAAGAAGCCGCTCTGCCAGGTGCCCTTGAGAGCTGCGGAGTTGGGAGAAGCGCCGGAGCGGGGAGCGTGGGACGGCGCCGAGCCCAGCGGCACCGGGAGGATCTCGCAGGCACAGGAAGCGCCGAGGAGCTCTCGGGCTGCCCTCACTTACTTGGATGTGGTCGCCCGGCCAGCATCCATCTGGGGTCATAGGGGACTTTGGAAGGGACAAAATCTATTTCTCTTTCGACGGGGTCGCTTATGGCAATGATGGGCACAGGGCTGTGGTTATCCTGCAAGTTCCAAAGTGCAGGTCACGAGCCAGGCGCCCCAGGGTTTGCAGCCCACCTCGCCCCTCGCCCACCTTTGGCATGTAGGAAAGCCACTGCAGGATGGTGCAGACCCCCTCAAAGTCATCCGGCACGGTGACGTGGGCAACGCCGTTGTTGTGCATGATCTGCACGCCTCCCAGCTGGTTATTGGATGTGTAAACCTCACGGCCCAAAACCTAGTTGAAATTATGAACAGAAACATGTCACTCTGCCAAAGCAGCAGCATTTTACAGCCCCCTTGTCACCAAAACGAGCCTGGTTGTGCTTCTCCTGCAGGTCCCCCAACCCAGGAAGGGATGTAGAGGAACCACCACCTTCTCCCTTGGGACCGGGGGCACGGTTGGAAGCAGCAGCCTCCTTTAGCGGTGGATGGGATAGACTTGGGGAGGACGCCGCGGCCGGAGCGCGCGTTACCTTATTGAGGGCCGTGACGCCGGTGAGGATGATGTGGGAATTCTCCACCTGGATGACGCGCTGGCCCAGCCTCACCAGGTAAGCCCCGATGCCGATGGCGCGACACGTCACCTGGGCGCACGCACAAGGATGAGCAGGATTTCCAGGATAACGGCGAGCGTCGGGAGCACAAGCCGGCTTCCCGCCGCTCCCACCAGGCGAGCCTGCAGGCCAGCCCAGGAGCAGAGCCCTTTTCCAGGGAGGCTGGAGCAGGGCAGGGCTCCGCAGCCTGTACCATGCTGATGGTCACGATTTCTTCGTAAGCTCGAGAGGACTCCCCGGCGATGGTGCCGGCAGCTCGCAGGTTTTCCACCCCAAACCCGTTCTCTTTCCCGATGATGTCCATGAGGACGTACCTGCAAGGAAAGCACAGGTGCAGACAAGTCAGTGTCACTTGGTCAGCAGGAGGCTGAGGGAGGACGTGGGAGCCATGAGCAAAATGCAGGAGCATCCTGGGCATGAACCAGGAGACACAGCGCCCGCTCACCTGGACTCTCCCCCTTCCTCGACGTGCTCACAGTGCACTGAGTTCAGGGAACTGATCCTTGTGTAATCCTGCGGAGTCAGGTACAGGTACCTGAACCCCTGGAAATGAAGATGAGGAGGATGAGTCGTGGGATGAGCCCTAAAGACACCTCGATTTCCATCCCCATGGAGCAAATGCTCCCTGTGGCACCGCCTGCACACGTGTGCTCAGTGCCGATCCCAGTTTAGCTCTGGGCTTTGCCCACGTTAAGCCCTTCCTTAGCTGCTGCTCATGCACCTTGTAGGGGTCTGCAGGGTCCACCCAGGCCACGTGGAACATGTGCTTTATCTCGTCGGCGAAGCCGATGCGGGCGCCGCTGTTGGCAGCGATGTAGACGCGGGGGACGCCCTCGGCGCGGGCCAGCTGCGAGGCGCGGAGGAAGAGCGAGTCCTCCTCGGGCCCGAAGGAGCCGATCTGGTGCGTGATGTCATTGCAGATGAGCACGATGTCCCGGCCCTCCGGGTACTCGGGCGTCTTCAGCTTCATCTTGAAAGCAACCATGCCGACCTGCCCCAAACAGCACGAGGGCGGGTTGCTCCAGGGAAATGGGATCGGAGCTGAACCAGCACCTGATTTCGGCTTGAAGAGCATCCCCTGTGAGCCAGACACTGCTGGGAGCGGGAAGCCGTCCAGCACCGTGCCCCCATTGCCCTCTGCCTCCATTCCCAGCTCCTTTCCCCCTACCTCGTTGCCTCCAGGGAGCCTGTTCATCTGCACCAGTTGCCCCTGGGAGTCCAGCACCAGCTCAGTGTAAGTCAGGATATCCTTGGGATACAGCTCCGTGGAGCCCCACAGCTTGAAGAGAGCCTGCAGGGACAGCACCCGGGGGACAAGCTCCAAACACGGCTTGCAGCAGCTCCGCAACCCTCGCTGACCACAGACACCCAGATTCCCATGGCAGTACGGGACCCGACGTGGACGGAAAGGGCTGGAGGTGCTGGGAGCCCTCACCCTGCCACACTGCACTCCTGCACCTCACAGCCTCACACAGCACAACTATGTCTGATTGCAAGAGCTGGAAATTGGTTGAGAAGTCCTTCACACAACCAAAAACATGGTATTTTGGTCTCACTGTTTTACTTTCCATTTCATTTTCTCCTCTCCCCTTTTTCTCTATTTTCTCCCTTTCCTTTTTTCTTTAGCAGCTCAGAAGTGAGAGCTTTTCAACCCCAGCTGTCAAATCTGTGGAAGGCAGGATGGCGGAAAAGGCAATTAAACAATTTGGAACCTCTTTGTGCTCAGGCCGGACTCACCTGGCGGATCATTTCTGGGAAGTCGTACACGTAGGTGGTGCCCAAGGACTGGGCCTGGAAGCGCTTGGCCTGGAGCAGGTCCTTGGTGACGTAGGGCGTGTTGATGAGCATCCCGTGCTGCGGCCCTTGCTTGTCTCCGTACGACTGAAACATGATCTGCGAGGACAGGCAGAGAGCGGCGGGTCCCTTTCTGCAGGATGTGGGCAAAGATCTCTGCAAGGCTAAGGTGCAAGAGCCTCATGTGGCCCAGAGCACTGGGAAGACAGCCAGGATGCCCGTGGCCATGGCTTGACCCAACCCAGCGTGATTTTCCATCCCGCATCCCCTCGCTGAGGGGACAGACACTGTGTAAACAACTGCTGTGCTGAGCTAGGACACCCTCATGCTGCCCTGCTGTCTCCTGGACCTCTCTCCTGGTGAGAGCAGCCGTGCTGGGGCTCAGCCCCGCTCCCGGAGCAGAGCATCGCTCCGAGGAGCCCAAGCAGCCATGCACAAGGGCATTGACATCCAGCAGCCCCGGGAATGCTGCTGTGTGGGACCTGGGCTGGCTTCTCCGGGCTCTGGGGATGGGTCAGGACAACAGGCCTGGGGGTTCTGCAGAGGTCTCCAAACGCTTTGCTAGAGCTTGTGCTCGAATAGAGGGTCACCAGCTGCTAAAGCAGGATTGTTTTGGGTCCGGGCACTTGCTGCTGGGTCTCTGGCTACCAGTGTCCGTGCAGAACTCACGCTTCCCGTGCCGAGGTCCCGCACTTCCTTGTAGAGGCTGATGTCCAGGTAGTAGCCAGACTCGTTGGTGATGAAGAGGCGGATGGGGATGGCCGCAGCGGTCGGCGTCAGGCGGATGTTGATCTTCACCTCGGCCTGCAGGACGCGCAGCTTCCAGAGGCGGCTGCCGTAGCGCATCACCATGGAGCGCACCGACTCCTCGATCTGCACACGGACAGCAGGCAGTGAGGCCCCGTGCCAGCTCAGGACACGCTGTTCCCAAGCCCAGGGCTCCGGGCAAGCCCCTTCCCGCTCTATCCATCCCCAGGGGCTGCCCTTGGCACAGACGCACTGCGAGGAACTGGGACCACCGCGATCCTGACCTTGGAGGGGTCCATGACGACCGTTGGCACGAAGTTGAGGAAGATGTGGTTACAGTCGGTGCGGACCGTCGTGTTGCTGAAGGCCACCTCCAGCTCGTCCATCGCCTCCAGCAGCAGCCGCTCGCCCTCGTTCTGCAGGTACTCAAAGGAGGCCTCCTGCAGCGCACAGAGCACAAGGGAGCTCAGAAAACCCTCGTGCCCAAGGTGCCAATGGCTCCATCAAAGCATCGGAGCGAGCAAACTCCCCCAGGCGCTGCCTGGCACAGCAGCGGCCCCTCCGTTTCCACCGGGACCCCTTGCCTTGGTGATTAGATCCGAGTGTCGTACGATGGCCCGGATGAAGAAGCGGTAGTCGGTGGTCTCGGCGCCTGCCTGCACCTTGGCAGCGCCCAGGTAGAGGTGCATCTTGTGGTTGGCACAGGGAATAGCCGTCAGGTCGAAGTTCCGCATGCGGCTCAGCTCCAGCTGGAAGGCCAGGGCTGGCTCCAGGTGCCGATAAATGCGGTCCTCAGCAAACTGTTGCACAGCAGGCAGGAGTGAGCAAGGTGACGTGGGGACAGACTCCGCTTCCAGAACAGTCTTGGAGCTGGTGATGTCCCTGGTCAGCGGCTCTTACCTCATCTCTTGCTCTGAAGGTGAAAAACTTTGGGAATTCCCTCTAGAGCAAAAAGGGAAAGACAAGAGTAGTGTGTGAACCTTGGCATTGGACCTCCAGGGGCTCTTTCCGATCTTCAATGAATTCACAAGAAGGGAAAGCCTACAGGTTCCCTCCTTCCCCAAAATAAGGCAAAACTGAAAATACCACATGCCTTTTAAAGGTATCTGGAAGTTACGAAGTGTCCAAGCAGGAATCACACGTTGCTAAGGATGCTAGCAGCATAAATCCTAATGCAGGAGCCAAGTAATCACTGGCTCCCTGTTAATTAGTGCCTCGCTTTTCCTCCTGATGTTTGGCTGCAGCTGTCCCTCAGGCCCATGTCTAAAGTACTTAAAGGCATAACTATCGGTTGACCTTTAGGGACACTGAGGCACAGCAAGCCTAAAGTAACTGCTACTTAGCAGCTCTGCATCTACTGACCTGCTGGGCAATTAAGAACGTGATTCTCCGCAGACCGTAGTCAACAAGGACGTTTTTCTACAAGAGATCAGAAGACAGTATCACGGAGCAGGAAAAATCCCCACTGGCCCCAAAAGAAGGGGACAAAGGGGGCAAAGCACCAGAGCTGCAGCTGCTCGACAGACCTTGGACTGGGCGAAGGCTCTGAAGATGGGCACTAGTTTGTCGTCCTCCAGGTGGTCGGCCAACCTGAGCACGATGTTGAGGATGTGGATCGGCTCCTCTCGCACATTCTGGCAGTGAAATACACAGTAAATCCTCATGTTTTGGCTCAGCAGCACCACTGCTGTCCTGCACCCACCCTGGGAAGGCAGCAACAGGAGAGCACCCACCTTGGCGTCCTCTTCGTCATAGACGGTAGCTCGTGCCTCGCTGAACAGGGAGCTCTCTAATGGGGGGTTTGCAAAGCAGGAAATCACTTCATCAAAGTTCCTGCCAGGATCCAAATGCGGGGATGGGGGTGCTGCGAGGTCAGCACGTCCCTATCCACGGCATGCCAAAGGCAACGGCTCCAAGGAGCTTCACTAACAACCCATTCAGGGTCGCACGCAGGCTCAGCTGGACTCCCTCGGCTCCGCTGCCTCCCTACCTGGTGAAATCCTCAAAGCGGTCGAAGGCGACGATAGCTCCCATCCTCTGGCTCGGGGGAGAAAAGCCGCTGTCCATGAACAGCTCGGTGCTGTGCCGGGCCAGGTCTGGGTTGGAGATGCTGACGGGGACAGACATCCTGCACGAGGGAGGGGAATTAATAGCTTTTCAAGAAGGATCAGAGACATCAGGAAAAGTAAGGACTGGCAGAAGGAGGTAGGAGGCCACGTGCTGGACTCTTCTACCTATTTGGGTGGGACGATGGCAGCATGAACTGGAACTCCACCACGCAGGTGCCGTCCGAGAGCTGGCGGTGCTGCAGGCTGTTCAGCTCATAGGCAATATAGCCCCGTCTCACGTACACCTGGAGCAGAGACGGGGAGGGAGGAAGGTGGAGAGCGCAGCTGTCCCCTCGCGCAGTGCTGCTGTGGCACGGTGGCCAAGGCAAGCGTGTTCCTGCTGCATCCCCCCGGCTCATCAGGCCCTACCTCCAGCGCGGCCATGCGCACCACCTGGTTGGTGTGGTAGAAGAAAACAGGAAGCACGTCGAAGATGGTGGTTTCTGAGAGGATCAGTTTCTAAGGGGAGAAAATGAAACTTAGGGACAGTCTGAGGTGGTATCTCCCCACACATACTCCATCGCATCCATGGAGAAAGACGGTCCCACTTGGGTTACTCTGGTCCACACACAAGGAGTGGAAAGTGACCAGCCCTTTGAGACACTTCTGGACACCCAGAAACAGTTTGACGTGAGGAAACCATATGAGATCCCATAGAAGTGGGGGGGACATGACAACAAGCATCAGCATCCTCATCAGCAACAGGCTGGTGCATCATCTCCTCTGGTGTGCACCCACGCTAACGTTACCAGCTAACGCTGCATAACTTAAATGCTTTTCAAGCTTAACTAAAGGGCCTTGCAGACAGGCAACCCAAATGCCCTCCTGGAGAGCAAAACACCCTCTGTTGAACAACACAAGGTTTCCGACCTTGAGGTTCTCCGGGCAGTACTCGTGTCCGTACATGTCGATGGCAGACAGGAATATGGACTCCACCTGGTTGTGCCTCAGCTCGTAGGAGGGCAGGTGGGAGGCGATGAGCACCTGCGGGGACAGCGGGCGGCTGGGGGCGCGCGGGGAGGGCGCCGGGGCCGGTCCGCACGGCGCTCGCTCACCTGCCTGGCTCGCAGAGCCACCTTGGAGTGCTCCGTCTTGCTGAGCTGCGTCAGCTCGTTGAGGATTGCGGTCAGCTCGTCGGTCAGCGTCGGGTCCCGGCCGCACAGCTTGTCCTGCGAGGGCAGGGGCAGCTGCTCCCTCCCCTTGTCGCAGGACAAAACCTGCCTGATATCCCCAGCACTGCGCTGGGGCAGGGAACAGGGAAGGAACCCCCAGGAAAAGCGCTCTTCCGAAAACCGAGCACAGAAGCGGAGCAAGGAAGAGGGACAATAATGCTCTGCTAAGGAAGCAGTCAAACACATTAAGAGTAGGAGCTTGAAACAAAGCACAAACCCTGGGAATGTATTAATCAAGGAAGCAAAATGGTTTATCAAGCACCTGCCAGTGCTAGAGCCCAGCACGGATGCAAGGCAAGGCAGGTCTGGAGGTTGAACAACAAGCTGCTATCCCAATGCCAGTGCACCCTCAAGCGAGGGTGCAACGTCCCATCCACCCTCCTCACCCAGGAAGCCACTCGCGCTCCCTTTGCTTCTGTAACACCCCAAGGGGCCTCTACTACAAAAGAGCAGGAGCCTGGGCAAAACAGGAGCTTCTGAGGACACTGCCTGCAAGCACACTTTCTGCAAGCCCTTATTTCCTGGCAGCTCTGGGCACGGGACTCTCCTGCCCCATCTACTCACAATTAACATAGTCACCAGCAGGTTCTTCTTGGCCACCTGGGCGTGCGAGAAGATGCACTCGAGCACCGGGGTCATGTCGGGCTTGTACTGCTCCCGCAGACTGATGACGCACTTGTCGTAGTGAGCTGAGCACAGAGCCGGAGCTGAGCACGGGGGCTGCGCGCGCCCGCTGCGGCAGGGCAGCCCCCGTGCTCCTCACCTTGCTGGAACTGCATCTCCACCTGCAGGTACCGCCGCAGCAGGTCCAGCACAACCGACTTCATGTAGCCCCGGATGCCGCTGCGGTACCTGCGGGAAGCAGGAGGGTCTCACCCTTCTTATGCTCCCCATGAAGCTCAATAGCGGCTGAGACACCACAATTAATGCTGGTTTCACAAACCCTGCTGAGCGAGACACAGCTCGTACCTCTGCACCAGCTGCACGATGCTCTGTGTGTTCATGAAGAAGACCTCCCGCTCGGCCTTCCTCTGGAGCGTGGCCGCATGGCTGTCCAGCACGTTCGCAATCTGCCAGAGCCAGGGCACAAACGGACACACGTTCAGGAATGGCCAGCGTGCAGGAGCACAGCAACGGGCAGGATTCAAAGGGAAGCTCTGGCCAGACCAGTATTTCTGGGAAGCTGTGATCATGCTGGCGAGGAACAGAGCGCCCTGCTTGGAGCACCCACCTGCTGGCTGGGGAACCGGCAGAGCACGGAGGTGATGTTACTGGCGTACTGCGCCATCACCTTCTTTATGGACTTCTCCACGGAATGCGGGATCCTTCCAGAAATGCTCGTCATGATTTCCTGAAGCTCCAGGAGAGGCAGGGAGGGATCCCGCAGGGTGTTCATCAGCTTGAGCACCCACTCCTTTACCTACAGGACACAGAAAGCTGCACCCACCAACACTCCCCAGGAAATCGAGGAGCAGATCCCACTCTGCCAACCAAGAAGCCAGGAAGACGGGAAGACTAACCACTAACTGCACCGAAATGCCCACTATAAACCTCCTTGGCACACAGAGGAGAGGCACCCCAAGGTGCCTACCTTGGCACTGAAGTAGGGCTCCGGCAGGCAGTAGCCGTTCATGACGTTGTTGAGGTTGTCCAGCACGTTGCGCAGCACCTGGTGCAGCCTCTCCCCCACGATGGGCAGGGTCTGCTGCGCTGGGAGGCCGCCCGTGAACGGCTGGGCCTGCCCGAGATGCAGGGAGAGAAGAGGCACTCGTGAACGGCACAGAAACAAGCTGGCCCTGAGCTTCACTGAAGTCAAATGGGGGTCTAGAAAGCTGCAGCTGTCTAGCAGCCATGGAGGAGACAGCCTGGATTCTGCTTTTGACGAACAGCAGAGGAAGCTCCTAACGGCCACCATTCGCATTGCTGCTCCACACAAAAAGATGCAAGAGCTACAGATGTGAAAAGAAATAAAAGGAGCCCCAAAGTGGCTCCTCTGCTGTTGGCCCTTGAGCAAGCATCTCCAGAGCCCTGCCAGGCCCTTGCATGCCTCGAGATGCCAAGTGAGCAAAATGCCTTGGGAGCAGAGGCAGGCGAGGGCCCTGGGGAGCAGAGAGAGGAGGAAGCAGCAGCGCAACGTGGTTCAGTCCCTGCAGGAACACTCACGGGTTTCACTTTGGTGGGATCGTCCAGCTGGAGGCGGGCTATGACGCAGCCTGCCTCCAGCAACGCTCCTGGCCGCTTCACGTAATGTAGGTGGCCAGACTCCTCTACCGACAGGGTCATAATAATTTTCATCACCTGCACGAGGGCAGAACACAAGTGAACACCACAGAGCGTCCTGGACACGACTGCTTCATTGCGGAAGTTAAATACTGGCAAGTTTCATTTTTAATCATGCAGTTGCCACATTAAGGTCCATGGGAACGGAAAGACTCTGGTTGTGGGGACTTTGTGGGCTCCTCTGCACCTACCTCTATCTCTGCAAAAACACTCCCTTCCGCCACATGGCCCCCATCTTCCACCGTGTACTGCAGCAGCTTCCCTGCCGAGGGCGATCGCAGCACAGTTGGGTCTTTCTCCTTCTCAAAGTCACAGGTTTTGTTCCCCACGGTGATTCGGTACCTTAAGGAGAGGGAAATTTTCTCCCTGCTGGAGCAACCGGCCTCCAGCTTGCAGAGGACCTTGCAAAGGAGCCTGCGTGGCGAGCGAGGGCTCGACGGGAGTGTCGTACCTGTCGATCTCCTCCTTCATGTAGGTGGTGTAGCTGCTGCCGTTGTAGGAGAGGAGCAGCCCGCCGTCGTTCAGCCGGTGCACGTCGATCTCGATGTGTGTGCTGTTCATTATAATGACGTACGTCGTGAGCGACTGGCGGGCCACCTGCGAGCGACACCGAGGGCTGCAGGCAGGGCTCTTGGTCTGCACCTGCTGAGCCCTTTACTTAACAGCTGCCTTCAGGGTGAGGAGCACGTTATTTAGAGCTCAACAAACTGGCTTTAAAAGCGAGAAGAGGGGATCTTATTAAACATGAGAACAAAGGCAACAGGGTGCTTGAAAATGCCTGTGAGGTGCAAAAGGATAATCAATCCAGTTTTTACATTATGTATTTCTATAAGGCAACCTCTTGCTCGTTGCCTTTTCCCAGCCTGCGGCATTTTTCCTTACGGAAAGCATGCTTTGCTTGGGCCAGCATTGCAGCAAGCTTGGAGAGAGCACAAGGCAGCCTTTACCTGCAGAACGTACTTCACGCCTTCGTAGACGAGCTCCACGTCCACGATGTTGAGCAGGGAAGCTGCGGGCAGCACCTGCCCTCTGAAACGCAAGGGGAAGGTCAGGCGCCAGGGGAAGCTGGCGGCATTTTCTGTTTGCGAGCGCAGGGAGCCAAGTGTGTCAGATGTCACGGCGCGGCGCTGCCCGCATGTGCTCGGGACACTCGGAGCCAGGAGCCCTTTAGATCCGCCTGGGGCCCTGCAGGGAGGCTGCGGCGGTGAGCGCAGAGGGGAGCGGGTTTCCTCTCTAAAGGACCCACACAACTGCTCCTTAAAAACCCACCGGAGCCAGGCCAGACAGTGAGGAAACACGCTCAGACAGCGAGCCCTGGGAGAGCCCCAGTGTCCTCCAAGGCCAGAGGAACAACCTTGACGTTCTTGAGCACGAAAACAAAAGCAAGCTGCAGTCGGGCAAGCCGCTCCCCTTGGAAAGCTCTGTTTTCCTGGCTGCACAAAGTTGTTTTTCCCCTCTATTAGATGAAGTGATATCTGAGACACCAACATCTTGCTATTTACAGCAAATAGCTTTACTTTCTATTAAATTGCCTCGAGGTGCAGCCTGGCTCTGAACCTGCAGTGTGGCTCACGTTCTGTGTGGGCACCACCTCTTAAACCATGAAGTGTTTTCAGCCTGGCCAGGCAAGGAGGAGGAGGGAAGGAAGACGAGCCGGAGCGAGCAAGGTTAAGAGCAAGACTTGAGTCTGCAAGACCCCAGCCATTGGGAGCAACCCTTGAGGGCATGTGCTCCCCCTGCACAGGCAGCAAAGGCAAGACCCTCCTTGGGTTAACAACCCCCAGCAGCACGTCCCTGCGCCCGGCGAGCGCCCGTACCTCTCCAGCGAGTGCAGGAAGTCGGTCATGCACGTCCTAAACGCGGCGTCGGCGACGTTCAGGGCGCCACAGACAACGCCCAGCATCGTGTCTGGCTTCTCAGCCTATGGAAGGGGGAAAAAGGAGTGAAGAGGGTTCCTCACACAGACGGTGAGGCAACCCTGGGATGGGCAGATGGGAAAGACCAGAGGCTGGTTTCTCCCACCTGCACTTTCTCTGCAATCAGATGGTCCAGCCAGCCGGTATCTATCTCATTGTTCTGGAAGCTCTCTGTCTCCAACACCTTAATGAGATATTCAACTGTGGTCCTGAAATCCCCGCGGATAGACAGCTCTTTCAGAGCTACCACCATGTTCCTTTTAAAGGAAAGAAACTCCATTGATCACAGATCAGGTAGCATCTGGTTTCCACCAGGGTGGCCAAGGCCTCTCCTGCACCCAACACCCTCTGGCCTTTAAAACTGTCCTTAGACACTTTGGATATTAGCAAGACCTCCTGAATTCTATCCTCTATGCACTGCAGGTGCTCCACACATGCCTTAATTGAGTATTGCATTCTGAGTTTAGCATTGAGGTAGCAATAGGTTGTTACGTAGCAGTCAAAATCTATGGTAAGAAGTCACACTCAAGTGGGCGATGATCACACCAGTCTTGGATCTCCTGGTACCTGGATAGAATCCTCTACAAATTGGGAAGGGGAAAGAGGGGTAAAGACTGCTTGCAAGTTGAGCAGGATTCTCCAACCATTTGGTTTGTAGGAATTTCTGGTTTACCAAGAGAGAGAAAAAAAAAAAAAAAAAAAAAAAAAAGATGCTCTTCAATGTACTGTAAAGCCTTGACTTAATAAAAGACAAACACCTAAGAGAACAAATTGTGTGCTACTTTAGTTAATTCCTAAATGGATTTCACATCTCAATGGCACTAAGCGCATGACTGTCTTTAGGGGCTGTGTTTATTAACTGGGGCATCACCCCCTTAGTTTCTGTGCACTTTGCCTTCAGCTAGATGAGCTCTGCGACACGAACAGGATGCTCAGTGCAAAGGTAGTCATGGTCCTCCGAGATAAAAGGGCAGGGTTTTCTGGCTCCTAAAACAAGAAAATGTGAATTTTTCCACAGACAGTTGCTTTCAAGCCCATATCGCAATACTCACGATATGGCCTCTTCCCGATTCTCTCCCCACGAGAAGCAATGTCCAAACTGGGAGTCAGCAAACTCGTGCAGACCTCCGGCAGCAGCCACACTGAAATAGCCCCAGACGTTCTTGCTGCTGCGAAAGTTCAGCTCCTGCACCGTCCCTGAGCTTGGCTTAAAGCCCTGAACAAACACACAGGACAGAGCACAAGAAATTGAGAAAACAGGCTGGAGATTTTTGAGACTTAACTAGGGAAAAGGGAACCCTGTGCCTTTTAAAATGCATGCATGTGAATTCCAGTAATCCCACAGGTTTTGTTTGGGAATGGCAGGGTTGGGAATACCATCTCCTTGGGGAGGACTCTGCAGCTCGACCCTGCAGATGACAGAAGCCTCCCGTCCCCGTGCCCGTCACCTCGTCGGGGTTCTCGCTGGTGATCCGCGTGGCGATGACGTGGCCCCTGGGCACGGGGGTGGTGGCAGGGCTGTTGAAGCAGATGGCCGTATCGCCCCACGGGCTCTCACCGTACAGCACTCGGATGTCCTTTATCCGGTGCAAGGGGATGCCCATCGCGATCTGCACGAGTAACAAGCAGAACTTGGCACCAAAACCAGACTAGGCGAGGAGCTGCAGGCGAAGCAGGACGCTGCACTGCTCCTGCATCACGTTGCATATGAGAAAATGGGAAAGGCCTTCCTCCCAAGGAGGCAGATTTGATGTCTTGCTGCTGCAGAGCCACCCAAGAGCCATAGCAGTGCCTGTGTGCAGTACCTGCAGCTGGGCCGCCGGGAGGTTCACGTCAGCGATCATCTCCGTGCAGGGGTGTTCGACTTGCAAGCGGGGATTCAGCTCCAGGAAATGGAAGCTGCCGTCTTGGCTGTAGAGGTACTCGACGGTGCCGGCGCTCACGTAGCCCACGGTCTGGGCCAGGCGGACTGCGCACTGCGAAGGGGACACGCACCGCGCTGGCGGGACGCGGGACACCACCACGGAGCCGGCGTCCTCCCGGGCAGACCGCAGTGCTGTCCCGGGACAGGGCGAATGGGCACTCTGGGAGCAGGGGAGGGGAATGTGGCAGCATGTGCTCGTGTGGCCAAGCAGGGCGGGGGCACCCTCGACCAGGCTCCTTCCCATCCCAGCAGCTATGTCGCAGCATGGGAATGCTGCACAAGGAGGGATGGGCTGTCCCTGCAGCAGGGCCTTATGCAGAAACATAAGGGATGCACGTACACAACACCCTGTCCTAGTGGTTATTCTATCCTGCTGTCCAGAATGGATTCTCTCTTCCCCTGTCCCCTTCCTTAGAGTTCTTGGTATTAAAACCCACAGTCGACCCAGCAAGGAACAGATCAGATCTCCACTAAAACCCAGTGCCTTTCTCCCAAGTTGCCCCCTGGCTCCAGGAGACACGGACCACCCACCTGCTCCATGGCCTCGATGACGGCGGGGGTGGCGATGGTGGTAGGCGCCTCCTCGATGATCTTCTGGTGCCGGCGCTGGATGGAGCAGTCGCGGCCGAAGAGGGAGATGGCGTTGCCATACTCATCGGCCAGGACCTGCACCTCCAGGTGCCGCGCGTGCTGCGCCAGCTTCATCAGGAACACGGGCGAGCCGGGCGCCTCCGCCTGCACCTGGGATGGAGGCCGCATCCAGCATCACCTCTGGGCAGCCACACATGGAGGCCACATCCAGCATCACCCCCGGGCAGCCACACCGTGGTCCGGGGCGCCCGCAGCCGCACTCACCTGCCTAAAACAGGCTCCGAACTCCTCCGCAGCCTCCACTTTGCGGATGCCTTTGCCCCCGCCGCCTTCTGACGCCTTGATCATCACCGGGTAGCCGATCCTCTTGGCAACCTGGCAGGACGAGGGGCTGGGTCTGGGACAGGCAAGGAGCTCCCAACCCAACTACTGCCTTGGTAGCGGCTCAGGCTGCTCGTTTCCCAGCCTTTGCCCAGCTCGGTGCGGCCCTGAGCAGGATCTTGGTCAGCAAGAAGAGATGGGACCACAGCGACCCATCTACAACCAGCTACACCAGAGTCCAGCATGCTGGGCTCCCTAAAACACCCGGGCGAGCCCCATCCTGGGTGGCCTCCAACAAGATGTGCGAGAGCGGCGGCTGCCCACGGGCTGGCCTCACCTCCAGCCCTTCCTCCACGTCCTTCACGCAGGCCCGCGCGTATGTCTCCAGCGGGATGCTGATGGACCGCTGCTCCTGGGGCTCCTCCTCCGACCACGTGGCCACCAGACCTGCCAGCAGGGCCAGGGGCTGCGGTCACCGCCGGGGTGGCACTGCCAGGACACTGCTGGGGAGCCCACGGGGGCACACACACAGCCTGCCCCATGGCCAGGGCTCTCCGAAGCAGCTACTGCCTGGGCCAGCATTGGCTTCAGCTGCAGCAAAGTGCCCCAAATTTGGAGCCCACCACCTGCCAGCAAAATCCCTGCCCTGCAGGACCTGGCTCCAGCCTTTGTTTTTGGGGAGAAAGAGGAGCAGCAGAACGTGGGGTAAGGCCAGAGGCTGAGGGGGCACTCACCGCTCCCGCTCCACGGCAGCGTGGGGATCTGCACCGTCTGGGCCACGATGGTCGAGGCCACTTTGTCCCCCAGCGCCCACATGGCGTCGCTGGGGGGGCCTAAGAACGAGGAGGGAAGAGGGTTAGAAAGGAGACAGCCCAAACGTGCACATGGGGGGTGCTGCCCTGAGCTGGCAGCCAGGGCAGCCCTGCCAAGAGCAGGAGCTCCAGCTCTTGCCACCAGCAGGAACAGCCACCACCTGCGTTTGGGAGATCTACGACACACTTCCCTCCCACCACCGTGAGAAGCAGAGACCTCACCCAGGAAAGCGATCCCGTTCTTCTGCAGAAGCTCTGGCAGCTTGGGGTTTTCCGAGGCATGTCCCCATCCAGCCCACACAGCCTGCCAGGACAGAGGGAGCCGCAGCATCACGCACCGTTTCTCGGAGCAAAGGGATTAGTCATCCCCCAAATCAGGGGGGCAACCTGAGCAAAGGCTTGGGACAGCCCATCCAGCCTGTCAAGGGCATACATCCCCACGGACAGCTCCCACCTGGACAGGGATTCGCTTGGAGATGTCCACGATGAGCTCTACGTTGGCGTAGTTGTTGTTGTTGGCTCCTCCCGGGACGGGCACATAGTGATCGGCCATTTTAATGTACTCTGAAAGACAGAAAGAAAATCTTATAACTGCTGAATCCAGCTGCACCGTTGGCTCAGCAAAGCACGAGGACACCACAGCATCCAAGCACAGCCGTGCAGAGGACCACACATCCCAGGAATAGCCCAAAGAGCAGCAAAGGGCTGTCCCAGCCCAGCCCCAGGCAGGTGGAGGAGGTTGGGGCTGAGCAGGTTTGGGGAACTGAGGTTCATGAGGTTCAACAGGGGCAAGTGCAGGGTCCTGCACTTGGGGAGGAATAACCCTGGACACCAGTACAGATTAGGGGTGGACCTGCTGGAGAGCAGCCCCGCAGAGAGGGACCTGGGTATCATGGTGGACGACAAGTTGACCATGAGGCAGCAGTGTGCCCTGGTGGCCAAGAAGGCCAACGGGATCCTGGGGTGCATTAAGAAGAGCGTCTCCAGCATGTCGAGGGAAGTGATCATCCCCCTCTACTCAGCCCTGGTGAGGCCACATCTGGAGTACTGCGTCCAGTTCTGGGCTCCCCAGTACAAGAGGGATGTGGAGCTGCTGGAGAGAGTCCAGCGCAGGGCTACCAGGATGATCAGGGGCCTGGAACATCTGCCCTATGAGCAGAGGCTGAGAGAGCTGGGTCTGTTCAGCCTGGAGAAGAGGAGGCTGAGGGGGGACCTGATCAGCGTGTATAAATACCTCAAGGGAGGCAGTGAGGAGGAGGGGGGCGGCCTCTTTTCAGTGGTGAGCAGGGATAGGACTAGAGGAAATGGCTTCAAACTGAAGCATCGGAAGTTCCACAGGAACTTAAGGAAGCATTTCTTCACTGTGAGGGTGACAAAGCACTGGAACAGGCTGCCCAGAGAGGTTGTGGAGTCTCCTTCTTTGGAGATCTTTAAAACCCGCTTGGATGCAGCCCTGTGCCACGTGCTCTAGGTGACCCTGCGTGAGCAGGGGGGTTGGACTCGATGACCTCTGAGGTCCCTTCCAACCTTCGGCATTCTGTGATTCTATGATTCTAACTGGCAGTTACCTGCATTAGCCTTCAGATCCTCGGGGGTGACCATGACCACGAAGCGAATGGCGCGCTCGTTTCGGAACATCTCGTAGGCCCAGCGGCGGATGGAGCGCATGCACTTGACGGCGGCGATGCTGTTGTTGGCGATGAGGACCTGGGGACGCGGCCGGGATGGAAACACAGCGGGTCAGGGCTGCAAACACCGAGAGGCGAGAGCCAAAACCTCCCACTGCAGCTGAAGGGCAAGATGGGAACGGGGCCTCTTATGGGATGCAGCCCTCTTGGAAGCAGGAGGTAGAAAGATGGGATTTGTGTTACCAGCATGGGAACTTCACAGCTGCCTGTTTTCTTTGCCGATGAGGCAGAAGGAGCCTCCTTAGCAAAAACTTTGATACCTGGCACCGGCATTCACTGAGAACTAGACTTTGGCCTTCATTTGTGTCAGATATGCAAAACTGCTGCAGGAAGCCTCTGTGCAAAAACTACGTTAGGAGAGTTTCTGCTCTCTAAACGTCTCTTAAATTAGCGAAAGAGGTGAAAGAGAGAGGAAAAACATCTCCCCCGCTGTGCCAGGCCCTGAACCAAGCCTTGCTGGGAGCTCTGCACTGCTTCATTTCCTGCATGAAGCAGCAAGGAGCCCATGGACCGAGCGGAGGCCGAGACAGAGCAGCAGGAGCCAGAAATGGGGACAAGAGCCTCTGGAGAAGGAAAACAGCAGCCCCAGAGGAGACACCAGCAAGGTGCTCCAGGTCCTAGGGCTGGTCCAGAGGCGCCAGCAATGCCCTGCAATGTGCAGACCGGCCCCGCACCGGCTCCAGTGGGTGAATGGGGAAGGTACCTTCTCAAAAACGTGGCTCCCCCCAAAGCGGGTGACAAACTCAGCCGGCGAGGCGACGGTGAAGTCCCTCTGCAGGTCCAGCTTCCTGTGCTCGCGGCCTTTCTTCACCAGGTGCAGCCCCGACATGCTGGGCCTGTGGCGGGGACAGAAACAGCGTCAAGCAAACACGAGCTGTGCAAGCAGAATTCCCATCAGGAAAGCCTTGCTTTTGCAGGCTTCCTAGGGCTTCCCAGGGGAATTGGATCTGCAGCTGAGCAACTCTGGACTCGGTGCAACACAACAGCGCCGATAAGACTTTGCCCCTCCTGCGGGCTCTTCCCACGCAAGCAGCAAAACAGCCACAGCTCCCAGCTCCGCTGGCATTCCCGGGATCACTTCCCTCGCCACTGAGTCCCTATCGCAGCCCGGCATCTCTCCAGGGACACAACATCCTGCTACGACCAGGCTAGATACAGAGTGGAGGAAACTGCTTGCACCTGGGTTACGTGGAGCGGCTGCAGGGCTCAGCCCAAAGCGGGGCTGAGCGGTGGCTCTGCAGCCGCGAGGCCGGCCGGGAATGCCGGCAGTTTGGGTTAACGCAGTTTGCATTCCAGGGACGGAGTCTGCTGAGGATTTTTGGCCCGTGCTCACAAGCGCGTGTGTGTTCGGCTGCTGCTGTCCGCATAAAGATCCACAGCTCAGTGAGAGCTGCAAACGGGCCGGGACAGGACAGCCAAACAGGGCGCTGACGGCGAATACTCCCGCAAAACAGCTGGGAATGGTTAAATGCACCCATAACTTGCAGACAGCTGCTGTGTGGCACTGGATGGAGCCCGTTTTTCTGCCTTTTGCAATAGACCTGCGGCATCCCCACTGCGTTAACCACAGCAGCAACCTGCCTCGGGCGCTGGTAGAAAGCAAATCCCTCCTGCGTTAAAGGAGGATTAAAGCAAACCTGACCGAAATGCTGCCAGCAACGCGGTGCATTAAAACACCCGACTGTGGGCCAGGCCAGGAGGCAGCACTTGGGCAGAGCTCCCCAGGCTCCCCGGCTTCATATTGCATCCCTGTGGCCTTTCACTTACAACCACAGGGAAAGCAGAGCGGCCAAGGGGAGCTGGGCAGCAGCTCTGCGCTTGCCACGATTCATAAGCGGTGCCTAAAAGCTCCTGCACATGCAGGAGCGGAACAAGGAGCACTGGGAGCAGGAAGGTTTCCTAACGCCGGGGTGATGTGGGACTGTGTCTCCAGGTGCAATCGCTGCTCTGCTCCCATGAAAAGGCTTGTGGTGCTGTTGAGAAGGCTGGAAATGTGCAGAAGGACATGTGCAGCACTGGGATTTTCGCCAGATTTCCCCGAATCCCCCACCCCAGCTCAGCCCCCCCCAGCTCAGAGGGTGCTGGGCAGCGCTGGCAGCCTCAGCCATGAGCACCGCAGCCCTGTCCAGAGCAGAGCACCCTGAGGAGCCGTCCATGAGCTCCACAGCCCTGTCCGGACCTGAGAACCCTCCAAGGAGCTGTCCATGAGCTCCGCAGCCCTTTCCAGACCCAAGAACCCCCAAGGAGCCGTCTGTGAGCACTGCAGCCCTTGCTAGACCAGAGCACCCCCAAGGAGCCGTCCATGAGCTCCGCAGCCCTGTCTGGACCAGAGTACCCACAAGGAGCCATCCATGAGCACCGCAGCCCTGTCCAGAGCAGAGCACCCCCGAGGAGCCGTCCGCGCCCCACGGTTACCTCATGGCGCCGTCGGCGTCGGTGCCCGCGAGCGCCAGGCTGCTGCGCCGCCGGCCGAGGCGCAGGGTGCCAGCCAGCACCTCCTCGTCCGAGGAGTTCTCCTCGAAGGAGCCCAGCACGAAGCTGGCGAGGGCCGGGCGCCGCCGCGGCGCCGCGCGCTGCTCCTGCTCCCGGCGCCGCCATGTGGGCTCCGGGGCGGCCCCCGGCGCCTCCGAGCACGACATGGAGGCTCCGTCAGCGCATCGCGGCGTCTCCGGGGACGGCACGGGCGCCTCCGCGCCCGCCGGTCGCTCCCGGCCCTCGGCGGGCGCCGCTGGGCCCAGCTGGTCAGGCGTCTCCTCGCTCGCCGCCTTGGCCTTCTCCTCGCTCGCCATTCTGGTCCAGAGGAAGCGGATGGGCTTCAGGAGGAGCAGCGTTGCGGGCAGCATTCAGGCAGCCTGCGAGGGGGACGGGCGCCATTAGCAAGGACGGTTCCTCGCTTTACTCCACGCTTTGCTCCGTGTCGGTGGCTCCTCCCTGCTCAGATCCCGCAGGGATCACCACGGATCGCCCCTGCCGCTACGGCAGGGCCAAAGCGGGATCCCCCCTCGAGCTCCCAGACGCCCACGAGAGGACAGCGACCCACAGGGTCCCATAAAATCCCACAGAAATCCTCTCGGCTCCGTCCGCCCTCGGCCGCTTGCAGCTAAGCTGGAAAACACGCTGTGCCAGCGCTATTTTTACTTCCAAAATGAGGAGCTTGGCAGGCGCGAGCGGCGGCCCAGGCACCTCTGCCAGTGCTGCTCTGGTCCGGAGGCGGCGCGTCCCGTGGGATGCTCGGATCACCCGGCTCCATCCCCACACAGAGGCGGGAATGGGCCGCCGGCCCCGCACAGTGTTGACTGGAGCAGCTCCCGAAGGGGAAGGAAACCAGCCCCATCCCGCCACGCTCCCGTCCCCTTCTTGCTTCCTCTGTCCCGTCTGCTTGTCGCAAGGTGCATTTCTGCTCCACGTTTTGGGGCTGTCGAAAGACTTTTCCAGACCGTTTGGCCGCCCTGGCAGCATCTCTGTGGTCCCAGGGAGGCCCCTGCACCACACCTGGGCTGTCCTGGCGCTCACGACCCTTTCTACCTGGAGCCACCGCGGAGCCAGAACCTCCCCCTGCCATGAGACAGCCCCATCGCAGGGACACGGAGCAGAGCAATAACGCTGTTCTGTGTCGAGGAGTCACCCTCGCAGGCCCTGGAGGCTGTCGGCAGAGGAGCAATGCAGCCTCCTCCACCTTCCCATCCCCATCCCGGGAGCTCCTAAGGGAATATCCCACAGTGGTGTGGCGAGAGGCAGCCCTCGGAGGCAGAGCAAAACCCCTCTAGAAGAAGCGTTTCTGGAATAAGTATTTCCAGAAGAGACCCTTTTTGGAGGGGGCTTTTTGCCATGTCTGCAAACAAACATTGGAAAATCCTCCCGCCTTGGAAGCTGCCACCCTGGTAAAGCTCCAAACAGACTGACTGCTTTTAAGAAGGGCAGTGTGTCGCCTAAGCGTGAAATCAGGGAATTTTCCCGCTTTACACCTAACTGCATATAGGGACATTTGCAGGCCCTTAATCTGAAGATTTGCATCTTAATCTGAAGATTAAGAGACAGAAATGAAGTCGCACTGTGAAGTTAAAGCAGCATTAAGTACAGTGGCCAAAGAGCACTAAAATAATGCAACAAAGAGGGTACAAATTTGGAAGACCAAGTTATTAATTTGCAGGCACAGCCTCTGTAGTCAGAGCTTGGGGCTTAACAAAGCCTGAGGAGCACTGAAATCATTCAGCACTCGCACAGCTGACAGTAACAAGACATTAACAACCTTAACGTTAACAACCTGCTTAAGGACAGGCTCATTCTGCCCCACTCACTTGCTCCTTGCAGCTCCCTGGACAATGCAGGGCACCAAGACCCGCCTCAGCTAGTCCCACCTTATTTTTAATACAGGATTTAATGCTGTATTCTATTGCACCCAGCGAGTGCCCCGTGTCTCGGGCAGCAGCTCTCCCCACGCGCGGCACCTCTTACCATCGTGCCGGGCTGAGCTCCCACCGGCGCTGTCCCGCTCCGCCGAGGGGCAGGATCCGGCAGCGACTCCTGGGGCAAATGCAAACCTCAGATTAACCCGGCTCTGCTGCAGGAGACGGTTGCGTTTGCACTGGAGCGTTGCACAATCCAAGCGAGCAAATGAGTGCTGGGAAGAAGGAGGGATGCAGCTGCATGCAGGGCAGGACGGCACCAGCTACAAGCTACCCGAACACAGCGGAGTATTCAGCCCTGCAGTGCTCCAAGCCCTGCACGGAGGCTGCTCCTGCCCTGGCACCTGCAGCAGCCCCGCGTGGAGGTCCCAGCCCTGCCAGGGACGCGGGGTGGGTGACGGCCAGCGTCACTGCATGTCACTGCACGGTGTCACGTTTCGGACGGTTTCGTGGCGTTACGTTTGCTTCCTTGCATGTGACATTAGCGTCCAAGTAAAAAATAGCTCCACGTTTGTTTGCTTGGAAAAAAAACAAACGTTTGTCGGAGACAAGGTTGAAAAATATCCAGGCACAGGGCAAGGGCCCAAGCAGAGCAAGGGGTAACGGCACCGTGGGAGCACCCGGCCCATGTGGGACAAGGGTCAGGCCAGCACCAGCCGCTGGCCCTGGCCAGCGGCCACCAGCCTGGGCCACGTCCTGCAAGAGCCTGGGGCACCGTGCACCCGCTCAGCTCGCGCTGCAGAAACTCAGAGCAGGGCTTTCTGTCAAGAAGCCTTCTCTACTCCTTCTATTCCTCTCTGTTTTAATAAAAGCCGTTGCTTCACTTCTGTAAGCGACAAACAGAAAGCAAGAAATCAGGCAATGTTTGGGCTATGCAAAGAGGCTCCCTGCTGCATTCAGGACTTACCCTGGAAGCTGCTATCCCAGAGGAAGCCGTTTGGCATTAACGGTGGTGACAGTAACAGCGAGAGGAGCAACTCGCTGCACCTGAGGTTTCATCTCCCTCGAGCCCAGAGAGAGGGCCAAGACCCAGGCGAGGGCAGCAGCCCCAACCTCACCCCCCGCCCCCCAGCGCTTCCACGAGTTAAATAAGACCACAGCACAACATAAACAAAGGAAGTTTTATTTAAAAACAGTCAGCTTGGGACTCCAACATATCCAAAGAAGGTGTACAACTTCACTTGTACTAGTGTTACCTACTGGAACAAATACAAAACAGCCTGGAACAAATACAAAACGCGGGCATCGGGATGTACGAATCTACCCTAAAAACTTAGGTAACTTCAAGAAGAACAAATCATTTCACTTTCACTGAAAGAAAGCATCATATCAAAGATGGGCTGGAAGTCCAACATTAGAAGGCAAACCTTGTTTTCATTCTAGAAGCAACAAGTTATTTTCAGCAATGGCTAAAAGCCTCATTTTGCTCCCATAGGGCAAGCCCAAGAGCATCTGCGTTGAAGCAGATCCTCCTCTTTGCTGCCTCACCGCATCTTCACTGCCCTCTTGTCATCCACAAGGTCATAAAACACAATGAAATATTCCACCCGTCAACCAGCAGACGTTCAAGAAAACTTCTCCCTCAAAATCAGCAGGTATCCAACTGAGCAAAGCTGCAGGAAAACCCACCTGCAGCATCAGCTGAGTTGTGTGAAACCAGGTCCCTGTCTCGCATGCTCTGGGTCTGTAGAACACCCAGTGATCCACACCCATGGACAGGATCACCTCAGAGCTAGTGGCTGCTGTCAACCAGGTCATTAAGACCTGGTAACCCCCAAGCAGGTTAATACTTTGGGGTTTCCTTCGGGAACAAGAAGCTGGGAACACCACCAAAGCGCTGGTCGCTATTTCCCCCTCAGCTGCCATGGGATTAATCCTGACCTTTAGAGAGTGCAGAGATGCACTCGGTTAAACTTCTTCACACTGTACAGTCTCTAAAGCCACAGAAGGGCAATATATTGCTAATCAAATCTGTATCTGTAGTAAAACAGCACAAAAAAACCCAGAGGGCCTCCAGTTCCCCATTACCAAATACAAACTCCAGATTTGCATATCATGAAGCAAAAGAGTGGGAGGAGGCAAATTAGGGTATTTACAGAAAGCATAAAGCTTAACTGTGGAAAGCCACGAACAGTCTCAAAAGCACTCAGGTATATGCCCATTGTAACAGTGAGTGCAAATTAATGTGGATTTTTTTTCTTTCTTGGCTTCACACTAAGCTGAGATCTGTTCAAGAAGTAGTAACAAAATAGTTCATGTAACATTCTAACTTGCTCTTAAAACATCTGGCATATTTGGATACATAAACATTAAAAAAAATCTGAAATTTAAGTCATTTGCTCATTGACTTGATCAACATTCCAAGAATGAGTCTCAGGTCAACAAGCATTTTCCAGCAATAAGGCAACCCTTGAAACAGGGGGCTATTCCTGGTGATAAAATCCACAAGGTTACGCTTACAGCTTAGAGTGCTCTCCAGTCAATGGGCTTCTTGCCCGATTTCTTCAGCAATTCGTTTGTTTTAGAGAAATGCCGGCAGCCAAAAAAGCCTCTTTGCACAGAGAAAGGCGAAGGGTGAGCGGTCTGCAGGACGTGGTGGCGTTTCTGCAAAACGTTGAAGGAAACAGCTCGTTAGATTTGCATGCTTGCAGCTCTTTGGACAAGGTTGGGTGCTTCTGGGACCAAACAGATGCAATTTCTTTTCTGTATTTCCTCAGTAGTCAAACAGAGAAAGAGCAGCCTGGAGAACTCGGCCAAAATCTCACAGTGAGATTTTCAGTCCTACTGATCAGAGCAGAACAGACTATACTAAAGTTGCAGCAATACTTCGGATTACAGTGACTTAGAAATGGCATAACAGCAACTTTACACCTACTCATGGGAAATTTCCTAGAAATATCAGTTCTGCCACCAGTTCACCCGAGCCTCTTCTTGCAGCCAACGGCTACACTTTCTCCCATTTTTGTTGCTTAATTCTGGCAAGGATTAACTTGAAACAGAAGAGTAGTGAAACTTGATGGCAAATAGATCTCAGCTGAGGAGGAAAAGCCCAGCTCTGTAAGGAAAGTGCCCTCTAGTGTCCACACTTTAGGTTTAAAATAAAGAAAATAGATGGATGGGAAAGCAAGCCGTACCCTGTCAATAGAACTGCCTTTCTTCTGTGCATAGGCTCCCCACAACATGAAGACAAGGCCGTGCAAGTTCTTGTTCAGCCAGGACACCACCACATCCGTGAACTGTTCCCAGCCTTTCTCCTTGTGGGAAGTGGCCTGGTGGGCTCGCACCGTCAGCACCGCGTTGAGCAGCAGCACTCCTGGCGAGCCAGAGGAAACCAAACCCAGGGTGAGCGGCTCCTTCCTGCCACCCCACAACCCATCAAGCAGTTGGAGCCCTCCCTGCCCAAGGTAACTACTAAGTGATAGTCATTCAGCATATATACTTATTTTTATAGGCCGTTTCAAAGCACAGATCCGTTTATAGACAGGCTTGTTTATGACCTACAGTGAAAACGATTCCAGGATCTCTTAACTCACCTTGCTTGGCCCAGCCAGTGAGATCTCCATGACCAGGATGAGTGAAGTCTTCAATATCAGTGGACAGTTCCTTGTAAATATTTTCTAAGCTGCAAACAAAAACAAGATTTAAATTGGGTTTCTGGAACAGTCAAAGCCCATGTAATCAGGCAGTTAATTAGCACGACTGAATCCTGAAAACCTGTCCAGTAGCACTCAGATGGCAAACTCACTACAGACAAAGACCCAATTGTGCTCTTAACAGTTTGCTCTTTAAAGTACTTAAAGATAAAGGCAAACAAAGCCACCTGCACTGGACAAAAAGTAAACAAACTTCAAGACAAACCCTTAAAGGTAATAAAACCCTCTGCACAAGCAGCCCTCAGGACCTCTTTGTGTGCCTGGCTGGAAACTTTATCAAAGGACTCACTGCTGCAACTGAAAACACAGAGCCCAGCAAGGTTGTCAGGAGAACTACACAAAATTAACAGTGTTTCTCTAGTGCTGTTTTGGGGGGGGAATGCACAACTTAAGGTTCAATAGTTTCAACACATTAATTTATGAGACACATAGCCTCAAATAACACAGAAGTACAACGAATTTAACTCAGTAAATAGATGAATATTGCAAGTTGGGTGCTGCCATACCTTGGGGGTGGTGGAACAGGTTTCTGGACACTGAAACAGAGCCCATGAGCTTGATTAGGTCCATGATATGGATCTTGCCCCAAAATGACAACCTTTACCTGAAAGAGACCCAGATCCTTGTTAGTACTTCCAACCCTACAACTGTAATTGGAATTTTTCTTGAAAGCATAAAAATCAAACAAAAAACTCACAAATGAAGTATTTTCAGAAGAAAAGCTCTCTGAAACAAGAAATCCATACCCTCACATACCTGTTCTTTGTGTTAATTTTCACTGCAAACAGCTTATTAGAAGAGGCATTAATATAAGCACAGGGGTACACACTTGTGGATAATTAGAGTCTGCTACAGAAAAGCCAAGAGAAACTCAAAAGCAGCTGGTCCTGAGCCAGACATTGCAGAAACAGTGTAACGTCTGGAGTCTAAACAGAGGTTTTAAACACCGTTGCTGATAAGGGTGATAAAGCAATAAAGTCATTTCAGTAACAAAAAGAGGAGCCAGGATTTACAGATTGTGCGTGGGAAACAACAGCATCCAACATCACAGGGGGCTGCGGATTGAGAGCAGACTGTGTTAGGGGGTCTCCGCCTAACCCTGGCGCTGGAGGCTGGTGTCTCGGGTGGGCAGAAGGCCAGGGCAGCCCCCTCAATGCCTCACAGCCCTGGGGCTCTACTCACATCTTGGATGTTGCACATCTGTGTCCAGGTGAAGACCTGTTCTGGGGGTGGGTAGACAGTGCAGCGCTTCCTCTCCTGGGCTACAAACTCCATCAGCTGCAGAGGGGACACCAGAGGGAGGGTCAGTAAAGGGGGGTGCCAAGGTGTGTGTGTTGGGAGAGGTCCAGCCCTGTCACGGAGCAGGCAGCCCCCGCTCACCTCCAGGAAATAGGGCTTGGAGAACTCGGCGCCCAGCTGCCGCCTCCAGCTCTCGCCGAAGCCCGGTGGCACGTTGCGCTCGGCCAGGCGCTGCAGAGCCGCCTCCTTGTTCCTGCGGATCCGCTCCAGCTGCTGCGCGCTCAGCGGCGAGGCCGGGCCCGCCTCGCCTTCCGCGGCCTTCGGCTTCTTGGCGGCATGGGCCTGGGGAGCGCGGGAGGAGAGGTCAGTGCAGAGCAGGCGCGGGGCCGAGGCGCCGGGGCCCCGGCAGAGCCGCAGGACCCGCGCGGTCGCCGCCGCGACGGCCGCCATCCCGGCCAGGGACGCGCCCGCCCCGCGGGGCGGTTCTTGCCGTAGCCGCGCGCCACACGCGGCCTTTTCGCGGCAAAACAGCGCCGAGCTCTAACCTCATTGGCCGCCCGGCCCCTGAAGCCACGCCCACAGCCTTTGTTCCTAATCTCCTGCTTTCTATTGGTCAAAAAGAAGTAGCTCACTCCACCCGATTGGTTTACCACAAAAAAGATAGAGCTAGTCTGCCTAGCAACTATGACGGCGCAGCCTCTGCGGGCGCCCATTGGAGAGCAGAGCCTCATTCAATTCATTCAAGCGCGACAGAAGCGCGCGCTTTTTCGCAGCGCCCGCGAAACTGGTATTACCCACCCCCCCTTCCCCGCGCGCCCCCCCAAGCCCCCCAACGGCCGCCAGCGCCGCACGACCTCCACCCAGCACCGGTGCAGCCCCCCTGCTTCATCCCCCTCCTCCTCCAAGCGCCCGCAGCGCCGCGTACCCCCACTCCCCTCAGCGGCCGCGGGTACCTCGGCGTCGCCGGCCGGCTCGGGGGAGCGGCCGCGCTTCCTGGGCGGCGCGGCGCTGAAGAAGGAGTGCAGCGTCTTCTGGCCGATCATGGCGGCGGGGAGCGAGGGGCGGCGGGAGCCGGCGGCAGCACCGCGCTTTGGCGCCAAGAGCGCGCGGGGGGCGGAGAGGACGGCGGAGGGAACAGCCCACCGCGGCGCATGCGCGGTGGCCCCCCCGCTGTCCGTGAGGCGCGGCGCATGCGCGGGCGGGGCGGCGCTGAGGCGGGGGCGTGGCCGGGGCGGCGCCATGGAGCGGTTCGTGCTGAGGCGGGCGGCGGGCGCCGGGCCCGGCGGCGGCGGGAAGCGGCCGAGGCGCGAGGCGGCGGGCGCGGAGCCGCCGCTGCCCTCGCCCTGGCGGGAGATCCGCGCCGAGGGGCTGAGGTGCGAGTACGGGCTGCTGTTCGGCGCCGCCGAGGCGGACGCGCTGCTGCGGGAGCTGGAGCGGGACGTGCAGTACGACCAAGGTAGCCTAAGAGCGCTGGGCGGGCGCTGCGCCCTCCGTTTAAATATCTGCAAAAAAGTGGAATGATAGGAGTGCTGTTTTACCATTCCCTGACATGTAGTTCGACAGGCGAGCGCGGGGAGAAGCCAAAGGCCCCGAGAGGCAGTTGTGTGTGTTGAAAACCCTTGAATGCAGGTGACAGCTTTGGGATGTCATCCGGGAGGCACCACTTTGATTGTCACAGCATATTTTTAATTAATTGCGAGTAGCTCCCATCACAGGGGAGGTGGCAATGGTGAGCGATAGCGGGTGCCCCGTCCTTGATTGCTGTCCACGGTGCTCTGGTACTGGAGGTGAAACCTGGTGCTCGCTGGACGGCGCGGGCTCAGTCCTGCTTCTCTCCCCGCAACAGGCGAGCGCGCCAAGCTGCACGTCTTCGGCAAGTGGCACCGCATTCCCAGGCAGCAGGCGACCTACGGGGACGCGGAGCTGACGTACACGTACTCGGGCGTCACCTTCTCCCCGAGGCCGTGGATCCCCGTCCTCGACCGCATCAGAGACCGCGTCGCGCTGCACACCGGACATACCTTTAATTTCGTCCTTATTAACCGGTACGTCTGGTTGCTGATCACATCGAGCAACTTCTTGCTGCACGTGTGCCACATCACCGAGAAATCACCAAGAATCTCCTCGTTTCACTGCAGTGACTGAACTAAGTGATCTGTTCTGTTTACAGATACAAAGACGGCTGTGACCACATAGGGGAGCATCGAGATGACGAGAGAGAGCTGGTTCCCCGCAGTCCTATCGCATCCGTGTCGTTCGGAGCCTGCAGGGACTTTGTTTTCAGGCACGGCGAGTCCAGAGGGAGGAAAGCAACGCGCCGCATCGAGCCCATCAAGCTGCAGCTGGCGCACGGGAGCCTGCTCATGATGAAGTATCCCACCAACGTGTACTGGTACCACAGTGTGCCCGTCCGCAGGAAAGTGCTTGCCCCGAGAATCAACCTGACCTTTCGGAAAGTGATGGCTCTTACCAGCAAATGAAACACTTCACAGTCGAGCACCTGCTATTTTGACTTTTAAAATGGGAGCTTGATCCCTGACATAGCAGTCAGTTTCTCTTCCAAACGCTATCCTCAATGATCCAAGGCATTGGATGAGGGAGTTAAACCAGAAGAGGGCATAGTGTCCTTAAAAACTTGCTAATAAATAAATTGCTCATCTTATATGATAAGACTGCTGTTCTCTCAATAAAGTGTTGGCTTATAACATAAAATACTTCTTTCAAGATAACACCACACAGGAACAGTTACTTTTATTAGTAAGTTTGTTCTTTTATTGCTACTGTACAATTACAAAAATACCCTGAAGTGAAAACACAACTTCCAACAGCGGTGCAGTGATTTGACTCTAATATACACTTTAAAATAATATACACAATAAAACAAGAATAATCCACATACAGAGATGTCATCTTGGAGGTCTGTTTCCCATCTATCTGATGTACATTTTACTAACAACTTTCCCACGATGGAAGCTTGCAGATAACAAGTGCTGGAGGAGCCCCGGTGCCTGCGCAGAGCCCCCTAAATCCCAAAGGGCAGCTCAGGTGGCAGTATCTGCAGAAGCCTTTGATGCTCAGGTTAGGCTGAGAGTATCTAGCAAGGCTCAGGCCCAAGGCCAAGGTGCTTCCTTCCTCCCAAGGAGGGCTACGCCAAGACCACCTGCAAGTGCTGTCTCCTCAACCTCATCTCTATAGCCCTTGAGGAAATTTCAGAGTAAATCTGCAGCTGAGCAAAAAAGAGCAATTTATCAATGCCTTACAGTGCCTGTGCTTTCATTCTCATCCAACGGGCCCCTGCTGGAAAGCAGTTTTATGCAAAAGGAAAAGGAAAATATTAAACATCCAAACTTGCAGTAATAGGGGCCTTCATGTCACTGTTGCAGGCTGATGAGTTTAAGAGTGTTAGTCCACGGTGTGCGTTTACCCTGAGCCAGCATTACGGCTTTCCAAACAGTGCCCTGTTCAGGTGAACTTCACAAAGATTCACAGAGCTGAAAGCCTCTCAACAGACCCCGCTGAGAGCAGGTACTGCAGAATCTTTACTGCTGGCAGTGGAAATGTTCTCAAGTTGAGGTACAAATGGTAGAACTGCTGGAGCTAGACGCTTTGCATGATACTTTTCCTTAGGTGACACCCACCAGTGCTTTACACAGCTCCTACTGCAAATTCCTGCTGTGGCCAGAATGTTTTTGGCATTTTGCATATTTTTTTTCCCCATTATTTTTCTCCTAAGTTAAAACAGAAAGGTTAAAAAGGCGCTACTGCTACCCCAGTACAGAGGAAGAGGCTTCTCAGGAACTAGTGTGTCAGTGGATCTATGCAGACTGCTTTGTATATGGTGAGCACTACTCGGAGCAGGTGTTGGGATCTGTGCTCTGGAATGATGCGAGTGAAGTACAGGATATACCATACGACAGACACACGGATATTCGTTACTGTTCCTATTTTGGCAGGCTTCAAGCCTCCTTGAAAGAGCTCCGGCTGCCTCTGAGCTTCAGGCAGTGATATGAATACATTAGGTACAAAGTCACTATAAAAACTATTAAGACAGTTGTTAGCATTTCAAAACTTAGCTGCTCTTTTACACTGAGAAAGCTAGTCCGGGAATAAGTCTTTTTTGCCTTCAAGGTGCAAGGATAGAAAAGAGCTACAAATAGCCTACACTTGCAATTCCTCATAATTCAGAAGCATTCACATTTTTGCTTCTGCTCCCTCTGTGCCTTGCCTGTTACTTTTCACTCAGTCTAGAGTTTTTTACTCAGTCTAGACTAACAGTCTAGACCAGCAAAGTGCAACGTACTCGGAGCTCCCTATAGATCACAGTATTTTATACAGTGACACCAGTCTTTGCAGACTACAGCACTACCTCACCAGACAAGGGCCTACAGTCCGGATTCAGGTGTGCGTAGTCCAGCTTGCAGGCTGCCTGGCTTGCTACGGATCTCAGCTCACAGCTACAACCTGCCCAAGCCACGCTGCAAGCCGGACAGCGTATGTTTGAATGATGATGAAGGATGGCAGTGCTCAGCACTAAAATGGGAAGGGTAGGTCTGGAACACCGATTACAGTGGCTTGAAATATTAGCATTAAAAGGTGTAGTCAATACTACAAGCAATATTACTCTACAGTTTCATAGTGACAAAGGAAATTACAATACTGATCATTAGCAAAAGCTGCTGTCTCTTAATTTCACCTAAATTCCAAAGATAAAGAGCAACAAATCAGTGTCTCAGGTTTAGATTAAAAATTTCATATTTTCTTCTCCTGTAAAAAGAAATCTGCAGTTCGAATCAGTAGAGGTATTTCTATGATGTATAAAGAACTGAAATGTTTGGGAAGCAACATAAGTAGGAAAGTATTTTTGGGAACCACACATGCTACATAGAGATGCCTTGCTTTACTGATTAGCTGGGATATTAGATCTGATTCAGTTAGTCGTTCTTCCCATCATCTTGAGAGACATTTATCAGAGCTTAATTGACGTGCAGTAGACTCAGACAATGGTAACGTGACCATTCAAATAAGCTCAAGGCACTTTATTGTTTTTAAAAACATTGCCTTTGCTAACAGCAGCTTCCTGCCAGCCACTTCTGCGGTTCATCTGTTAGAAACGTCTGCACGAAATGTAAAGGATTAAGCATCTCTGTCTGAAAACTTACACAGGCATCAGGATAAGGAACACGGCCTTGGGAAGTCTCTGTTGGAAGTGTCTGTTTCAGAGCTGTGATGCACACAAAATACTGCCGAAACAGAACAACGCAGGGTCACTTGGGCTGCACAAAATTAGCAGCCTGACTTTGGGTAGCATCATTTTGGTACAAATCACAGCTCGCAGCGAGAGGCAGCTGCTGCTGTAGGGCGGGGGAGGTTAAAGGGCCTGCGGTGGGTCACTGCATCACAGACACGAGGTGCAACGTGGAGCTCACCAGAGGGGATCTGCCAGCTCTTGTCCTTCAGCCCTCAGTCACTCCTCGGCTCTCAGCTCCAAACTTTGGTGCTGTACCCTCGAGTGGACACGCTCATAAAAAAGCAGGTAAGCGCTAGAAGAGAGGACTTCCTGCAAACTAGCCTTGCGAACGGTGTCGTCCGAAATCCACAGCCACTGGCTGCTGACGGAGAGCGGGTTCTTGGGAGAAGGTGGCGAGCGGCGGTAAGTCACAAAGTGTCCCGAATGCATGTCCCCGTGGTGAACCACAACTGCCATCAGACGGTAAAGGTAAACAGGGGAACTGGAGGGCAAAGGAGAAGAGGAAGGGGTCAGCAACCCTCGCAGGGCACACGCAGGTTGCTGTGTGTTTAGCTGGGCACGGGCAGAGAGCTCAGAGCAAAGGAATGGCTCTGTGAGAGAGTGCGAGAGAACCAACCACGAGCTGGTCACAGGTTGAAAATGTTTGCATGTTCTCACACGGAGATGCATCAAGCATGATCTTACAAGATCTGCTTGAATTTATGTATTTTTTTAAAACTCTAAAAATAAGATGAAAAATGAGAAGGAGGGGTAGAGGAGAACAGGAAGAATAAGGGCTTGGCTGTTCAGGATGACTGCTGCAACATGAACTAGGAGTGTCTGAATTTTGCTTGTAACATGTTCTACTCCCTTTGCTAGCAGGAGAGAAACAGAGCCAAAGACAACCACTAAAAATGAGCCAAAGAGATGAGCAAATGATTTCGGCACAGGACCCAGGATGGATGTCAAATTCAATGATTACACTACTTTATGATAGAAACAGAGTAACAGAACACAGAATTGGCAGAGATTATAAGAAAGGTACAAATCTCTAACTTACCTGTACTCAGGGAATGCAGTTAGCGGAAAAGTTCCCGGGGACATTAAAAACGAAGGGGAGCAGGCACCATTCATAAAGAGGGATTTAGTGCTACATGGCTGCTCTGCATCTGTCAAAGAAAGCAGAGAGTGATTTAGCTTATGTGTTGAGTTGCAAATACGATAAACAGGACCTATCATCAGAGAATATTTTATCTTAATTAATTACATACCACAATGCTGCTGAGACATAGAAAAATATAATAGCCAAAGACAGTGGTAATTGTTTTTACGTGATACAAGCATGAAAATGAATGACAGAATTCTTACTACATGGAATACTGAGTTGCCTAAATGACAGGCATAAATTATTACAGATTAATTTTCTAATTGTACAAAGCTACTATTCCCAGTGTCCTTTCTGTGACTGTGCTGAAGCCTTAGAAGAGATAACTAGATAATTTTTAGGAGGATCTCCTGACTACAGCATGCACTCATCTTTTGGACCTAAAACATGCCAGCTTTACACTATTATTTTGTTGTTTTATTTGGTTTTGGTTTATATTTAGCAGAATCAGATAACTGAATAATCAATTTGTACCTTGTTGCAATAGTTTCAATAGTTCCAATTACTTGCCAGAAAAAAGGACTCTACCTATCCTCTTATCACACATCCAAATAAAGACCCTGCTCTTAAATTCACTCTGCAAATCAGAATGCTTTGTTTATCAACAAAATGTAGAAATACATAATATATATTCTTTTCCAACTAAATACCTGAAGGTTTTACTGCTGTCCCATCCTTTGTTTCAGAGGTTGCCTCCTCAGGGTTTTTCTGATTCCGATCATTCTGGCTTGATTTATGAACAGGAATGTGATATTTGTAGATGTCCATGATCAGGAACTCATTGAACTGAACGTGCTCGTGACGTTTCAGAGGAGTGCCTTGGTTTGACCAGCTCAGTCTTTGCAGGTGGATACACAAACACTGAGGGAGCTTCAGCAAGTTTCCATGGAAAAGGAAAGTCAAAACACATTTTAAACGAAAAGCAGCAGCTATAACAGTTAAAAATATAGGAATGGAATGGGAAAATCCAGTGGATGAGGATTAGAATGAGTGGCAATGAATTGCTGGCAGACATTTGTTAATATCTAATAAACTATGGCTCGGCATAGTAAAAGTGCATAGGAGAGAAAAAAAAAAAGGCAAATAGTTACAAATATCTGAACGCTCAAAAGTAATCCCATGGTTAACCTCTGTCAATCAGGGTTAACCTGAGGCTCTTAATTACCAATGCCCTGTTGTCCGCTGCATTATACAATCACAGAACAAAGGGATTCATAATAAGGGCTTCTCATCTAAAGGGCACCTAGTGTTTAACACCATATTCACTTGTTTAAACCTTCTGTATTCAGATTATTTTAATTTCTTTGCAATGTGCAATCGCTAAACAATGTACAAGCAGATGTGTATATGGATCACTTACCGTGGAAATAAAAAATTACTGCAAGACACATGGATTGCAACTGAAACAAGCTCATGCTTGAGTACTTCGCTGAATAACAGCAAAATACTCACAAGTAAAACATTAAAGAAGTTTAATACCAAAAAGTGAATATCAAGCAAAAAGACTGAAGAAAGAAATTACTGTTTAATGGGATTTAAAAATTGATGTTTAACTTGCCTCACCTTTCCTAGCTTTAATTGTTTAACAAATGTTGTTCTCTGGTTTTCTATGCTCTGTCCATGCAGACTCCCTTCTGCCTGAATCTGAAATCAGAGGGAAAAAATAAGTCATATGATTAAATGATTTATCAACTTGCACAGAATCATACTGCAGGTTTGCACACTACAAACAACAGGGATTTCCTATCTAGAACTATGCACAGTTCATTAATTACATTTACAGTTTTCCACCAACTTTTTAGTTCAGATACTGAAAAAAGTAAATCAAGTAGAAATGAACATTTATAGAAGAAATAGAGTCCAGATTTAAGTTTAGCCTTAAGCTATTTCTGTTGCCTTTGAAACAAATACCTAGGCACCATGCTATAACTAAAGACAACTGTAAAATATTGTTTAAAAATGCCAAAACAAGAAACACCCCAAATATCATCTGGCAAATACAGAATAAAATATTTATCAATCTTGTAATATTAATAATAAAAAAAGCTTTAAAATACTCTGTGAGGTAATGACTCATTTTAAACACAAGAAATCGCAGGCAGGCTAGAGGCCTCCTGAAGTCACATAGGAGAAGAGGAGGAGGGAGAGAACTGAAGCCAATCTGTGGGATTTAAATAGAGCTAGGTTACACAAATTAAAATGACATACCTTAGTGCAATTGTCGCATACAACATCCTTTACAGATTCAGAGGAGATGAAATGATGGAGACAGTGATCCAGTGTCATAGGACGACCCTTAGTATGAAAAAAAAAATGCTATTTGCAGAACTGCGGCTGTTTAAACTGTGCAGAAAGGACCGAATACCCCACCATGAGAGACAGAAAGCTCTGTTGATGCCAGCAAAGTCACGCTTGTCATATTAATTTGCCCCAACCTGTCAACAGTAATGTACTATATTAGCACAAGACCATTTGTAAAGGTAAAAAAAAAAAAATGTAACTATTCATTAACACTTAGGCCTTGGCATCTTGAAAAGGCACCAAGAGAAAGCTGTGACTACAAGGACAGAGTCACTGGATCAGCAAGGGACACATACCCACATAGCAGCTGGGATGCTCAGTGAGAGGCTGTCAAACGTATCGTACCGCACAGGACTCTGCAAGAAAATATTTCACACATCCACTGAGCCAAAGTATATGATACTCCAAGAAAACTAGTGTCCCCCAAAAGGAATATGTGCTCCCTGCTGTTGTCATCTGGGGAAGGAGGCTCAGCAAATCCCACCCGTCCTCAGCACTGCACTGGGGATGCTTGGTGTTGAACTGAAGCTGCTCTTCTGCCTGCTTCTGCTGAAGCTGCCCTTGCTATTGAATTGTTGGCAAGTTTTTAAAAGTACTAAAAATACTCTTACAACTTGATCTACAGATGAAATTTATTTTCTGTACTTTTGCTTTACCCAGATATCTTCATCTCCTTACTGTGGATAATTGGACTGCAACTTAATTTGGCTTTATGTTTGCAATCTCAATCCTGAGTGCTGAATGAATAGCTGGGTGGCCTAAACTGCTCCACAGGTGAGTGAGTTTTCAGAGATCCTGAACAGCACATGTAGCAAGACCATTATTATTTTATCCAATAGGACAGTTATTATCCTCACAAAGTGGATCACAATTAATTTTCTTCATTACATTTTGTGATACTTATTTCTGATTAATGCTACAATAAGTACATAAGTAACAATCTGAGGTCTCATTCCTGCAAAACCTCGGAGCTGAAGTCAAGTACACGAGACAGTTTCAGCCCAGAATGTTCTCAGTGTTGAGCATCCTTTTGTTTTTGTGCAGAGGTATTACCAGGCACGCATTCTTACACCTGATGACACACAATCTTATACCTGGTGTTCACAGTGTTTGCAAACCATGTTGCTAGTCAACCTTCCATGAAAAGGATGCTGAGACTTCCAGTGATTTGACATAGGGGGAAGAGAACCTGAAAATACAAAGTTTCGGTTGTCCTTTCATTTTCAATACATCTGTGTTCTTCACTATACTTTCAAATATTTGGCCAATAATACCAAAAGGAATGACCGCTAAAATATATTCTGTTCTACTGACAATCAATGGTATTTCACTGCAGAAGACATATTTGAATCCAAAACAAAAACCCTCCTTACTCCCCCCCAAAAGCCCCAAACCAATCAATATTATCCCATTAATAAAAGAAAGAAAAAGTGACTACACCACAACTAAATACTCATATTTCAGGATGGCGGGGGAAAAAAAAAAAAAACCCTTACCTCTTGTTCTGCAGCTTATTTGCTTTTGGGTTATTTCTGGCTGCTACAAAGGAAAATAAAATATTTCATTAATCCTACACCTTTGCAAGCTTTCAGTATTAAATATTATTTCTCTAATTTCATCCCTGATGTGCTTTCCTGACATTTATACAATTGTGTGTGTGTGTTTGGGGTGGGAGGGCTGGCTCTTTGTTTCTTGGTATTTAGGAAGATTAAAAAAAAATGAGATACAGTGAATACAATTTCTTACCCTTTGCCCGAATTATTGATTCATTTCCATGAGAATACTAAAGATTAGCATTGTAATATAACGAAAGCATCTTCAGGTTCTGAACAGACACTTTATACTTTGCACACTAAGGAATCTGGGCAGACTACGAAGTGCTTAAGGAAACAGCATTGGTCACCTCCAGTGAATGCACATCAAACAAATGCGTGACACGTGGCTGCCGCTCCCGTTCGTCTTCTAGTGAAGAGGTAAGGACATGAAATAGTTCATGAGCATCCTATTAAATAGAGGCATAAGATTTAGCGGAAGCCAGAAAAAAAAAAAAGCATCAAAACATATCTCAGGAGTATGTGTGTATATATGAATCTATCATTGAAGCACTACGTTAAAGGAAAAAAAAAAGTATTGTTTAGACCCCAGTTCATGATGAAATAATTATTTGAGCACGTGCTGCAATTTTGCCCTGAAGATTTTCTGCAAAGCTAAGCCCTGTAACACCATACACCGTTAAAAATATTCTCAGTCACATAAGTTCAAAGGATACTAAAATACTTGCAGAAAAAAAGAAAAATGATTTCACAAATGCCTGTTTTCCTTGATTTCAATGACAGTATAATCGAAATTATGCTATTTTCTTTGCCTCTGAAACATAAAGGAGAGAGAGAGAACCACATTTTATGAATAAGACAATCAATTGTGTCCTTTGGCCAGTTGCACTTACGTAAGGGTTGAAAATACTAATAACAAATGCTAAAGTATGCCATAATGGAATGAAATTTGGAAACCTTAATGAAACAGAGCACATCCCTGGAATCACACAGGTACTTCAGCACAGACCCACCATCCACAATGAGGTTAGGGCTGTATTCCTTCTATCTTAATATTACGGTTTACATTGTGCCAATCTAACGGTAATTACAAGTTTTTGAAGATGCCACTGACTCCCTGACAAATATCTAAGCAAACTGAAAACACAATTCATCAGTCACAGAGCTGCCTTCATGCACTCTTTAAAGCAAACTTTTCACTACAGTGAAGACTCACGACTTGTCATTTGGAGCCGTCAGTACCATAACTTACATAAGGTATCTGTTATCCTGTATCTAAGCAAGGAGGGGTATACCAGGCAGTCTAACGGGAATTCTGTAATCACCTGCTCTTCAAACGATGAGATCTGCCACCTGTACACCCTGAGAACTTCTAAGAGGCAGCTTGCGTCCAGGACATCATCTTCTGTTACCTCTTGGCAAGATAAAGCTAGAGACAGCGCATTTTAAACTGTTAGATGGAGCCACCAAGAAGAGATAGAAGGTAAATCTGTTTATCTGAGTGTTTAGATTACTTAAGCACAATACAATTGATTAGTTATTCTCCATTAGGACAGGTCTACAGGTACAGTTAGACAATTACAATCAAACTAGTATGTATTAAGAAAATACTATTCTCATCTGGCACAGAGTAACTGACTACATATTCTTCTGATCTAGTACAGAGTGAAAGGAGTCTCGAGTAAGTGATACGGGGGGAATAAAAGATACAAACATTGTCTGAAAATATTATTTGGGGATTAGATTAAAAAATAGATACATGTCACAGAAACACTGGTATTAAAATAGCATCAGCCCTTCCTCATTTAAAAGTACATGTTTAACTGGCACAATTTTTAGGATGAACAATATCTAAGCTACTCAAACTTCCAATGAATTTCCTCTAAAAAACAGCCTTGCATTAATTTTCTTTCATAAATAAGTGTCAGAGTGTCCCTTTCATGGCGACAACAGTAGTCCCAATTTCTTCAAATTGGGTGTGTACATCCACATTCATGTTTTCACCGTATTTTGTGAAGCACAGTCTCAGGGAAGTAAGGCACCTTGTGTCAACACATGGCACACACATTTTCAATAGCCCTGTTGTCCTCTAGCCAGATTTGTTTGATCTGCTGGCAAATGTGTGTGATCCTTGGTCAGCTGCAGGTCCAACAAAACCTGAGACCTTTCAGCTGCTGGCCAGGGAACTGAGCAGCTCTGGGGACAAACACAACCTTGTGTTACCCAGGCTTGGCACAGGCACCCAGCACCTTTCTGATCTCTGCTATTCTGTGAAATTCCTGGCCAATAAATTCCAAGTTAATAGAGGACAATAACAAGGAGACAGTAAGACCACATTGTCTTCCTTTCTTTAGGAAACAAGGCTGGAAATACCAATTTTTAACCTAAATATTTATGTAGTTTTCTTAAAATGAAAAGCTTAAAAGATATTACCTCTTAGAAGATGCAGCAAAGTGAGGGACAAATATTGATGCTCAGGGGACTGGTTCTGGTCTGTCTTGTACTGCGCTGTAAATTCCTCCAGCCAGTTGATGAAGGACGGGCACGCAGATAAGCCTTGCAGCAGGGAGTTCATGAAACACGTGTTTCCTAGGTTAAGGAGGCCAGGGACGAGCCCTGCCAACATACAGGTAAGATTACATACACACCAACAAGCCTAGGAAAACATTACTATTTTCAGTAGGTGTTATGCTTTATACTAAAAGGGCATTGAGATGAAATTATTTCAGTTTCTTTTGGACTTGTACACATTAAAAAACTGGAAGACTCCCATATTTACATATCACAACACAGCGTATTTATATACGTTACGCTTCCTGAAAAATACATTTAATTGTTTTTTTTTAATTTTCTCTGAAAAATGTTCATTTTTTCATAAAAGAATATTTTCAAGGCCAACACCAAGGGTCAGGACTATCTGCAAATTACTGTATAAAAAGGTATTTTAAACCCCAAAGTGCTTATTTTCAGCTCATAAGGTGGAAGCCACTTATCGTGCACGTTCAAAGGGAGCCACAGGCCGCTGCTGTGCTCTCACACACTGCAGCTCAGCTCAGCGAGGCTTTCCCTTTGCCGAGATGATTATCAAGGGTTAACAGAGGGCACTGCCACACAGCTTGGCTTAGCAAGGGCCTTCCCCTTGTCTTGTGCTAATGTTAAATACGAAAACGCTTATTTCACTTTTATTTTTAAAGGACATAATTCGAAGCAGTTTGCTGAGGAACTCAACACAAGACAGACGCACAAAACGTGCCTGACACACCTGATTTTACTTCAACTCCAGGCACTGCTGTTAATAAACTATAAAAACCAAACAAGGGCTTTATTTGACACCGATTTATTAACATTTCATGCCAGGGGAGGACACAGCAAGGAAAGCTTTACATTTAGGGCGTGGAAAGGTTTTGGTGACGCTAGTAATGAGCTAGTAATGCTTTAAAAGGCAGAAATTCGTGGTTTTCTAGGCAGGAGGCTGCAGCAGGGCCGCGGGGCTCTCCCTACCTCTCCTGCGCCGCCTCCGCTCCGTCATGGGCCCCCAGAGCACGTAAATCCCGGCGGCGGCGGCCGCGGCCAGGCCCCCCAGGAGGCCCCAGTTCTTCATCACTTTGTACCTGCAAGGGAAGAGGGGAGAAAGAGCGGGTGAGAGGCCGAGGCCGCGCCGGGCACCTATACAGGGACGTGTATATATATCTATATATAAGTGCGCAGCTGTCGGCCCGGTGGCGCTGACCTGGCGGCCGCGCCGGCCCGAAGCAGCCGCCGCAGGGCCCCGTCCGCCTGGGCCGCGCCGCCGGCCACCATGCCCCGCCGCCGCGGAACCCGGCAGCCGCGCGGCGCGGGGGACGTGGTGCCGGCGCCGCACCGCACCGGAAGTGGCGCCGCGGGGCCGCGTTAGCCAGCGCACCGCCCCTAGCAACAGGCCCCTGGGAGCGGCGGGTTGCTATGGGAGGCCTAGGCCTAGGCCGCGGCCTAGGATGTGGAGGGGAAGGAGGGCGGGGAGCGGGGGAGCGGTGCAGGGAGGGGAGGAGAGGTGTGAGGGGAGAAGGTGGCCTCAGAGCCTACAGGCCATGAGACAGAATCACAGAATCGTTATGGCTGGAAAAGACCTTCAAGATCAAGCCCAACCATGAACCCATCACCACCATGCCTCATCTGAGGCACCTCCATGCCTCATCTACACACTTCTTGAACACCAAGCACCTCATCTACACACTTCTTGAACACCTCCTGTATATACTTCTTGAACACTGTCAGGGACAGAGACTCCACCACTTCCTTGGGCAGCCTGCGCCAAGGCTTTACCACTCTTTCCTTGCAGATTTTTTTTCCCCCTAATATCCAACCTGAGCATTCCCTGGCACAACTTGAGGCCATTTTCTCTTGTCCTATTGGTAGTTATTTTGGAGAAGAGATCAACCGTCACCTCATTACAACCTCCTTTCAAGTAGCTGTAGAGAGGGAGAAGGTCCCATGAGCCTCCTGATGTGTCCAGAGGACCAGATCTCATGTTCTTAACTGAATGGGCAGTTGGAGTTTGTCTAGCAAGAAAAGTCACAGAGCCAGTCCATTCCAAAAAGGAAGTTATCAGTTCTGTGCAGTGACTTTTTAAACTAGATCAGTATCAGAGAAATGTTATTTTCTATTAAGATTTTGGGAGAAGCTATGCGGAGCTGCTGTGAAATGGCCCACACAGATGATTTTGGGGGTACATCTCAGCAAGGGTGCTCTGCTGAGACTGATCTACGGCCTCAGTGCTGCTTTCCCCTAGACATTTCAGGTCGTAACTCCTCTTGGGACTGACGTTATCACCAGTGTTTTACCCAACGGAACAAAACAGGCTTCTTCACTGGGGAGATTAGATCATCATGGACCTTGATTTCTTTCACTTGTGTTTTCTGAACAGCAAATAAATCAACACTTCAGGAATATTTTGGTTGAACGGTCTATCCCATGAGACCCTTTGTTTTTTATTTGTTGTGGATCAGGTACCTTTCATTCCAGACAAAGCACTGAGCTCCTTTGTGGTAAGCGAGAGGCCAATGCCATTCTTCACCCCAAACCCATCACCACCCACATCAAAGAACAGTAACTGAGGAGCACTTTTCTTTTCCCCCTTATGCTTTTGAGAATATATCACAGAGCAAGCCTATCAATTTTATGCCATTAAAGTTTATTCTCTTCACAATTCCAGAGTGATATTCACTGAAGTGTGCCTGATTTCTCATGGCTTGGCCCAAGCCTCTCGCATCTTCTGTCATTTCCTGACCCGAATGTGTACAACATTCCTCCTTCCTCCTTCCTCACCACCTGTCTTCATTTCAGTTTATCTTGTTGTTCTCAGATGATTTTTTGTCAAATCTATCTTGTCAAAAGTCACTTGGTCATCTACCTGGCTTATTTTCCAAATAATTTCCCCCAGCAACCTTGCCCTGCAAAGGATTCTTCTGGAAATGCAGGCATACACTCAAACAGCTTATCCTGTGCAACCGAGGGAGAAGGTTTACAGGGTGCCAGAGTGACGGCAAATTTTCTTGGGTAATAAAATGAAGATGCTTTACAAAATAATTTCATTGTAGTCTGCAGTGTGCAGGCTTGGAGACATTGCTGCAGGAGAGGAACTTCCCCTGCGATCCTAGAGCATCCTCAGTAATCCCGTGCGATTTTCTGCCGAAATAAGCGGCTCTGCAGCTCCTTTGGGTGGGATTTGGGTCCCCCGAGGAGCCTTTGCAGCCTTCCAGGAGGCGGCTGCCTCCGAAATTGCTCCGTGCCGCTTCCCGCAGGGATGTCTCCGTGCGGTGACCGTGGCTGCGGCCCGTGACGGCAGCGTCCCCGAGGGCCGGCATCCCTTCCGTAGCGGCTCGGCGCCGAGGGGACGCGGGCGCTGCATCCCTGCCCGGCTGTGCAGGAAGGGGAGGGAGCTGCCGTGCGGAGCCGCGCGGAGCTGCGCGGAGCGCCGGGGCGGCCGCCGGAGCTGCCCAGCCGCCCCGCGGCGCCCGCCGTGCCCGCCGTGCCAGAGCGATGAGCGCAGCTCGCCCGGACGCAGCCCGGCAATGGAGGATGATTTATTCCAGCTGAGACAGCTGCCGTGAGTCGCGCCGGGAGGGGATGCGCGGGGCTGCTTCCAAGCGCGCCGCGGGGATGTTTGCAATGCCCATGATTCTTAAGGAAATTATTTATGGGAAGCATCCTAGGCCCCAGGAAGCAGGCCATTTTCCTTGTGCAGATGCCCGAGTTCAGCATCCTGGGGGCATCAAGGGGTTTATTTACCATAGAAACTCACCCGTTTCTTATTTTTACATGAACTCTACCATGGGGGGAAATAAGAAGGGGCAGAATAAAACCCTGGAAGTGGCAAAAGGTTTTGTGAGGGGTAACGCTACTATTGCATTTGCAAGGTGGATTGCATCCGTAAATAACGCGGGGCTCGGGAAGGCATCTTCCTTGGCTCTCTGCTCCGTGCCGGGGACCGATGGCACATCGCAGGCTTTATTGCAGAGACGTGCTCGCCGTGCACGCGATAATATCTGCTAACGGTTTGTTTGGGAGAAGCAGACATTGCTGCACAGGGAAAATGCTGTCATGTAGGGGGAACTCCTTGCTGTTGGCGGGTGATGCCTAGAGCTTGCAAAAAGGTGATAAAAACATTGCTGCCTTTAGCACTGACATCTCCGACTCATGAATGCAAAAGGTTTCCTTTAAAAATCTGTGCATTTCTCCTAATGCTCACTTATATGCTTTAAAATACGTTCGTATTTTTAAGCTATTGCCTCTGCAAGGCAAGGAATAAATACTTAAAACTGATTTAAAATATTAATAAGCTAATGCCAGTGAGAGAGCAAACGATCTCATAATATTTCTAATAAGTTGGGAAGATGGACATGAACTCCGGATATTTTAAATAATTGGTCCTGATGCATTCAGCTTGGCAATAAAAGGAAAGATGCATGATTTCATTAGAGCATTCTCCTCCAGTCATTTTTTTTTAAATAAAGCACTCAAAAAATACTCTAAAGTACCTTTCCATGTAGGTGTCATTAGACTTACTCACTAGAGTGAGATCTTGAAAACAAACGCAGGTTTGAAGTATCTCATCTGTGAAGATTTTTGCAGATAGGGAACAGTAAGGACCGTCAAGTCATTTCTTCATTTGCATTGATTTGTTTCATAGATCCTTAAGTGATATATATATATATATTTTTTTTTTCTTTCTAATTCCCCATGCTGAGCAATGGGGCCAGGTAGCTCCCTGCTCAGATTGCCATTGGAGTATTTGCAATTTTTAGACCTTTTTAGACCTTCACTATGCTTTGCATAGCATCCAGAGTCATTGCCTCCAAACTAAAAGTCTCTTTCAACATTTATTTGCAAACGTGAAGCCATAACACAGGGGTTTCATAATGAGGTTCCTTGCAGACAGAAAAGTTCTTATTATTTTGTGTTTATTTTGCTTGTGGTTTCAAAGGACACTGAGTAGGTACCAGCATAGGTTGTAGGAATGAATCTCAGTTATAATCCCAGGGAGTATCTGGTGCTTTAGACTCTCTGATATCTGGAGAGAGGATGTCTCTATATTGAAATGAACCTTGCATCAAGCTGTGAGACTGCTGATATGCAAGTAATGGTCCTTCTTAAGAAAATACATAAATACAAAAGTTTTCTTCACATATAGTTAAACCAGGTGCTTGTAAAGCTTTTGTTAATAATGTATGAGTGGTACTTTCATGTTAATTGCCTTTGTAATAAAATAGCATCCCATGGGCATATGAATTTCAGTGCTTGCTTGCTGAGACGATGTATTTGGTAGGTTGTATAAGATTACATCTTCATTGACAACTCTAAAGCAAGAATAAAAAGAATAATAATTACTTGAGTTTGTCCTGCAGGGTCAGCAAAACAAAATTTAAAGCAAGGTGGTTGTGCTGAGGTTAAAAAAAAATCAGAAAAAAAATTAACCCTGAGTTTCTGAATGGAGCTAAATGTGAACTCAGAGGACTTGCTTTGTTTATTCTTTTCTTGTAACTGAATGAAGGAACCTCCACGTATCCCTGACCAGCATGTGGGATACATCCCAGCTGCACGGCAGTCCGAGCGTGGCTTTCTTGCAGCTATCAAAGAGGCCTGGGGTTTTGTTCCGTGCACTTGAGTTTAGGTCATTGAGACGTCGTCTTTGAAAACAAAACCGTGTGACTGTCTGCCAAGACGCGAAGGCCAGAGAAAAGCCTTCTGTGTCCTGCTGCAGGTGAGAGTGCTGGCGATGCAGTGCAAGGCCATACAGATCTTGAAGGGCTCTGTGCACCTGAAAAGAAAAAAAAACATGCTGGAACATCTCAAAAGGCTGCAAATCAGTTCTCCTAAGAATAATTGACATCTGCACAAGCTGGCCACGCTTCCATATCTTTAGTTTCTCAGGATGCTGCCAGGATATCATTAGTGCGTGCAATTTCCCTGATGGGACGTGGTCAGGGCCGTCATGTATGTGCCGGGACTGGTAAACAACAGAACGTGTGTCCCTGGGTTTTGTGGCTCTGCCACAGGCAAAGCCTGAGCTGAAGGCAGGGGCTGGCTGTGCTGGGACTCCCCTGCTTGTGGACAACCTCGTGGATGACCAAGATACTCATTCCACCTCTCTCTCATTTATCGTTGGACCAAAACCCATTTACAGGAGCTTTATACATTGCCCATCCACTTGCCCTTATCGTAAGTATTGATCGTGTCACCAGCACTTGTAAGAGAAGATCAGAGGTGAGGCTTTGCCAAATGTGAGGGGTCTTTAGGGTCTCCTTTTAAAATGTCACACGTGTGTGTCGGTGAGTGGTCACCGCGGCTGCAAGGTACTGCAAGTCAAGTTGTGTTGACCTTCAAACCCAAGGATTAAACTGAAGTTCAAAACACTCTCTGCTAGCCTGGCGCTGAAAGGAAAATATTTAGTTATTGAACCTCAGAAGAGGCAGGAGCAAGACTAATTTAATCTATGTCTGTAAAAACTGCTTCGCTAAAGTCCAAGAAATTATCAGTTGCCAAGAGGAAAAAGTTGCGCTGATGTTACGGAGCCTGCAGATGAAGCGAGGGAAGCTTGAGGAATCTGCTACGTCAAATATTGTAGATCTGTGTCAAAATCTTTGTTTGGCCTCCCATAAATTAAATGTTGAAGGATGGATGCTGATCTTCTCTCCAAGCCCTGGCCAAGCGAAGAAGACATCAGCGGAGCTATGTAGGAAACCACTGGGAAAATGGGTGGAAATCATTGAGAACTATGTTCAGGCATATATAAGTACATCCAGCTATATATAAGTACATTCAGGTGTGTGTAGTATATTCCTCTGTGATGGACTTTGGTGCTCATGCATCCTGCATAGAGATACCATGGGGTTAGCCCTACGTTTGCAATTGACTTTTGGCATAATGTATGCTTGTCACCATATGAATGGTAGAGTAAATATTGCTTTCCACTAGGTATGTGAAGATATGGGGGCACATTTCATCTCTACTGCAGAAATAAACATTTGAAGCACACGTGTGGATGACATCCTGCTTGCACACACCACATAGCAATGTACTCCCAGTGTTCCCAAAGCCAGCAGCAACAAAAGGTCACTGTAGAAGCATTCTGTGTGAGTGTGATATGGAGTGGGCTGTGGAGAGGAACCTGACTGTTTGACATAAATATGGTTTCAGAAGGAAATACATCCCTGGAAGGGACACACCGTTGTATTAAATGTTGTTTCTTTATTCTTAGAGTGGTCAAGTTTCGTCGCACTGGGGAGAGCTCAAGGTCAGATGAGGATGCAATTTCAGGAGAACACGAAGTTCAGATTGAAGGGGTCCGGACAGAACTAGAGGCTGTCGAGCTCGAGGATGGAGCTGCAGTGCCAAAGGAGTTTGCCAACCCAACTGATGGTGAGCAGCATTCTGCTGGTTCTGGTTTTGCCCTAAGGAAAAGATGTGGCTTCTTCATTCCAGTCATGTATCAGCCAAGTGGGATACATTGGCTTTGGAGGAGTAAAAGATTCCCAGATCAAAGAAAGAAACTCTAAGCCAGGCTTATTATGTTGTACTTGAAAAGCATGATTTACCTGCATTGTCCTCCGAGGGTTGCTTTATGTGCTTGTTTTGATGTTATCAGGACTAGACACTTTCAAGGAGTTGTGTATCCAGTTGTCACCTATTTCACATAGGAGGTTTAGGTAAGTTCCTTCAGATCCAATCAGTGCTTCTAAAGCCGAGTTTCCTGGAGCAGTTACACGTGATTCACCTTCAAGGCTGAGCACGTGAAGCCTCTGCAGTGTTCCTGTTGCCCACTTGCCTAAAGGACAAGAGGGAGAGAGGAATGAACATCCAGACTTTGCCTTCTGATTAGGAGGGAGGTGCTGAGTGCCCTGAAGATAACAGCAATCTAAAAGATATCAGAAATGGTGTTTTGGTCTTAGCGTTCCAATAATTTGGAATTATTTTGTCTTTAGCGTGATCTTTAAAGAACAAAGAGAGTTGCCTGAGTAGGAAGTATATAAAAGCTAAGTATATATCTCAGTTATTTATTTTATATCTAAGTGGGTAACCCAATTAATAAGTAAATGCATTCATGGAAAATACTGTCTCTAGGTATGTCTTTTACTAGGAAAGGAATACACTTCTGCACTAGAATTGTTTTCTTTCTAGATACTTTTATGGTGGAAGATGCGGTGGAAGCGATTGGATTTGGAAAGTTCCAGTGGAAACTCTCTGTTATTACTGGATTAGCATGGGCAAGTTTGTTTCAAACTCAATTGCATGATCATCAGTTAGGGAATCCCAATGATTTCAAATAGTGTAGCCATTCTCTGCAGATAAAAAGTCCCCACATCGGCCAATTTACAAGATTTTTACTTGAAATTCTAAAATGACAGCTGGACTCAAAGTTGTTTTGTGGGGATAGTGAATAACTGGTTTCTCTTTGTTTAAAATTCTTACAAATCTTGGGTTTTTTTTTTTTTTTTTGTTTTGATTCTCTATTCCATATAGAGATTTTTGCTTCAAATAGAAGGGGTATTAGGCTACTCCTACAGGAGTAGATCTTGTTTTTCATCCACTCATTTTACCACATTGATCACATTAGCTAACTTCTCTGTTTTCTATATTAGTCAACATATCATTCTTGTAATCTGCTTCAGTTGAACAGCTACCCAGTACTTCTAGTTTTAGCCTGGACACCAGGAAAAGAAAACGGACTTTGTTTTCTCTTTTGAGCTACTTCTAAAGTGTTAAATGCTGTGTCTGCTGAAGTATATTTTAGGAGAACAGTATCTGGGGTGTAACAAGGGTAATTTCAAGATGTGTTGCTGACTGCTATGTCAATCTAATTTTCAGGTAGTTGTTTATTTTTGTTTCTTTTTTACCCTTCTAGATGGCAGATGCTATGGAAATGATGATTCTAAGTATCCTAGCTCCTCAGCTTCATTGTGAGTGGCGATTACCAAGCTGGCAGGTTGCATTGCTCACATCGGTAGGAAAATTAACTGACAGTTCCTGTGTTCTGTAAGGTTTTTCCACACATTGCTATTCAGAAATTATGCTTTATATTCCAAGGTTAAATCTCTTCATGGCCCTTGCAGATCGCCTTTGGCTCAAAATAATATAGGAGCCTTTTTAAAAAAATCGTGAAGAAATGAAACTAAGTGAGAACTGAGGAGATTTTCCAAGTTTCAGGCTCCACCTTTCATGTAATTTCTGGGAAATTGATCCAGACTCAAAATTCGATTCATCTGATCAATGAAAAAAAATAGTTGATAAGTTCTGGCCATCTTTTTTGAATTTTTTTCTCTTTTACTGCTTTTAAGTTTCCTCATATGTAGACAGATTGGGAGTCATGAGAGAAACTATGCAATTGCCTTTGGAGGTGGATGATCCGATGGCCTTTGCAAGCAGAGCTCTTAGAATATTACCAGGAAGAACAGTGCTCCGACGTGGGGGAACCTTCCCACCGTCTACAGTGCTGTTGTGTGGTGTGTACTTCAACTCATAAGACATTTCTTTTTCCTGTAGTTTGTGAGGCCAGTTGTATTATTATCTTAATTGGACAAAATGCTCGATAGATTTGAATCACCTACCGGTTATGTCTTTTCCCATACTTGAACCCAGCAACCACTGGAAATGGGGCCATCACTGGAAAAAGTTGAGAGATGTTGGTTTGAATGCTCCACTACAACTCCTCCTCCTGCCTGGGCAATAGCAAACTCCCTTTTAAATCAATACAAGTGAAGATAGGCTGAATGACTTGGGAAAATCCCACTATATGGATTGTCTTTGCTGGTCTCTACTGCAAAGGAATGGATGCAAAGCATCTCAACATTTTGTTGTACTGTTAATGCTTAAATTTCTTATTTTCATTGTAACGTTGTGTCTCTTTGCTGTCCTGTAGAAAAATTATCTTGTCTTTTTGTTAAAGGGAAGATTTTTTCTGGTGTTTCATAGGTGGTGTTTGTGGGAATGATGTCCAGTTCTACTCTCTGGGGAAACATTTCAGATCAGTATGGGAGAAAAACAGTAAGTCTCCGGGTCTTCATGAAATGGATTCCAGTATTGCTGCACTATGCATGTTTCAGTGCATGTTATTCACACATACCACAGTCCACATGCACAAAGTAGAGCTAAGTAGAGCCAGAACTGATACCCACTGAAAACAAAAAGAAAACAAACAAAAAATGCAAAACAAAAAAAGCGAAACAAAAAGACAGAAATTTGGGAGAAGTAGCAGAAAATCAAAAGTGAGAAAAATAAAGGCTAAAATAAGGAATGGCTTGACTGTATTACAAAGTGAAGTGGTTTTGTTGTAAAAGTCTCTAGGAGTCGAGGCGCAGTGCAGCCAGTCCCTGAGCAGTCTGTGTGTCCCGGTGGATGGATTCTGAGCTCGGGCACGTCCGTGCACCATCCACTGCTGCATCACGTGGCTGTTCTGGGGCCTCCACTTCCAGCATTCTTTGGGAAACTATTGGGATGGCAGAAATGGCATCCGGGAGGATTTTCTGCACTTGCTGGTTTTGAAACTCTAGTTTATATCTGGTGAATTTGCCTGACCATAGAGATTCTCTTTTCCCTCTGCTTGTTCATTAAATACAGGGGCTAAAGATCAGTGTGTTATGGACGCTCTACTATGGGATCCTCAGTGGTTTTGCCCCGGTGTACAGCTGGATCTTGGTGCTGAGGGGCCTCGTGGGCTTTGGCATTGGAGGGGTGCCTCAGTCGTAAGTAAATATTCACAAGTCCAAACTTGCTTTCTTTTTTGTTTCATTTTCAACAAATGCTTATGTCTAATTGAAGATAACCCTGTAGTGAGAGATGCCCCTGTACCTATTTTGCACTAAATATTTTGGAACTAGTGTATTAAACTTTGAGAAGACTTTGAATCAGTGAGGTGATCCCGATCTCTGTTGATAGGGCAGTTAATAAGGGACGCTGTGGACTTGCTGCAGGGTGGGCCAGGGCCTAAACACCAGCTGCTAGAGGAGTCCTGGTGCTTTGTAAGACTTTGCATTATTGTTCAACCAGAGCTTGGACTTTCACTTAGGAACTGAATTCCCAAACCCAGCAGCTCAAGCCTGGGACCCTTGAGATTATCTTGGTGGCTCAGACACAACCCTAATGCGAAGGTAGCAGCAGGTTATTCCTCTATCACTGCATTATTCCATTTCCTTAAGAGGAGGAGCTCGAAATTTTCCACTTAGAATAAATAGGTCTACTCTAAGCTTTCAATTATGAATGGAAAAGGAAGACTTTGTCTCTCTGTGTAGTCTTTTATTAATAATTGACATTTTGCCCCATGGAGGTGCTATTTCAGAGTCATAAGAGCCTGACTTTGATTGATAAGTTATAGACTTCTTCACAAAGCAAAGTAATATCCTGTCTTTTCTGTTGCCATTCCCAGTAATCCAGATAAAAGATCTGGAGCTCAGACGCAGCATCACAAAATTATTAATTTTCTTTTCTTGTTTTCCTGCCCTGCTTTAGGAGCTGCAGGAAGGAACAAAGCGTATGTACAATAGGAGAGTCCTTAGTCCACCTTAGACTGACTAGTGACGAGGCAGTTTCTGGCATGCGATTCCAAGTGAGCACGACCGGAGCGAGGCAGAACAACAAGGTGTCGAAGTTAGCAAAGCCTTAGGCTGCAAACACAGCTTAGTGCTGTTGCTCAGAGCCCCAGCAGAGCAGCTGCAGCTCGGCTGACTCCGTCACAGAGCAGTGGGTAGGGCACGGTAGCTGTGGGACCTACTGGGAGTCAAAGCAGAGGCAGTCACAGGATCTGGAGGAAATTCCATTGCTTTTAAGACTCCTTTTTTCTTGCTGTAACGATAATAGCAATTCCTTGGACAATAAATATATATGAAACAATAAAAATAACTTCTTTTATTTTTAAGTAGACTATATAGCATTTGGTATGATGGCTAAATTTGGATGGGATAACATGGGTATATTTATAAATTGTGTTACTGTATTCTGTAATGGGTAAGGACAGAGATATTATGAAAGATGCTGTTAAAAAGTATATACCTAAGAGTAGCAAATTAACTGATTACAGCAGATATCCCTTTATTTGCACATGTAGGAGCTGCACCTGGAAAGCTCTTGGTTTGCCTCCACTGGGAATCTTCTGTGAGATATTATGTAATACTGAATATGAATATTTACAGTACTAACATCCACCCTTGCAAAGATAGGAGCGTTCTCTTAACAAAAAAACAAACAAAGGAAAAACAATTCTATGCAGCACTCATTGCCCTGTGCTTTTTACTGCTGCAGTATATAAGGGACTCATGGCATGTGATTCTACTGCATTCTCCTCTTAATCACTGATTTAATGTAATATTGTGTGAGGTGATGAAGTCACAAGAAGGGAGCAAATTCTCTCCTCCATTGCAATGATGAACGGAAGGGGATTGTTCTGATGTAGAAAGGGGAGTCTGAACCAGCGTCCAGTCTTGCTGGCTCTGAGGGCTAGGAAGGATTTTATTTTACTACTCGGGTTTTGGCAATTATAATAAAAGCAGAACAAACATCTGAACATCTTGCAGTGTACTAACATGACATTTTTCTCAATGTTTACTCTTTTTAGGGTAACTTTATATGCTGAATTCCTTCCAATGAAAGCCAGAGCAAAATGCATTTTATTAATAGAGGTGAGCATTGTAGTTATGTGTACTGGTCCCTAGAGGGCCAAATTCTGCTTCGGGTTACATCCATTCAATCCCACTGGCTATAGAAATCTCACACCCAGCTACAATCAGATCCAAATCTTGCCACAATCCCTGGCAATTATAGCCATAGAGAGATTTTAATGGTCATTTTGCTTAAGAAAAGCCCGTGAAGAGCCTATTCCTTCTGAGAAGCTGCCTACAGTTAAACATGAGTGTTTAGAGACAGTCGACACCAGGTTTTCAGAACGGAGCTCCTGCTGCGGGAGAACAAACCTTTCCAAAGCGTCTGCCTTTCTGTTTGCACACAGGGGTGCCTTTAACACATATGCCACAGATATATTGGAAATATCTCTTGCATTTCTCTCTCTGTCTGTCTCTGGAGCACACGTTTTGAAATGTCACAAAGAAGGAGTCATTAATAGCCTTGCCTTTCCTCCTTCCATCTCCATGCTGCAGTGAGTCATGCAGCCCCGCAGTCTTACTCCCATTTGTGACTGTTTCTTTTCTCTTTGGCAGGTGTTCTGGGCCCTTGGGACGGTGTTTGAAGTCCTCCTGGCAGTGCTGGTGATGCCCACGCTTGGCTGGCGATGGCTGCTCATTCTTTCTGCCCTCCCGCTTTTGCTCTTCGCTGTCCTGTGTTTTGTAGGTATTCTTTTGGAGATGAATGCACAACCATTTCTCTAACTGAGGTGTTTAGCTGCTCTTAGTGTTCCCTAGGCACTGTCATTGTTTTTCAGGAATACCTGCAAACAGTTATACGGATGTTAACTTGTTTGCTTTTGAAAAAAATCCCCATTTTAAGTGATCTGCCCTGAATATTTTGTATTCCCCCGAGAACGTATAATATCGAGAAAAAAAAAAAAAAAAAAAAAAAAAAAAAAAGAGAGAGATTAGTCAAACCCTTCAGGAGTAAAAATGAGGTAACAGAAGGGGAAGATTTTGAATTGGAATTCCTCCTTTATGGTGAAAGTTATGGTTTCTTAAAACCTATTTTTGACAGTTGGCAGAGGGATAGTTCTCTGAGTCAGTTCGGATTGCTTCTGTAATCCTTTCTCCTGTGTGTGCTGGAGTCAATGAGATTACCCTCTGTAAGCCCCCAAGGAAAGGCCCCGGCTTGTTCGTTGGGGTGTTTTTGACACCGCTGTGCGTCCGATCTGCTTCCACACTCAGTGGCTGCCGGAGAGCGCCAGGTACGACGTGTTATCTGGAAATCAAGACAAAGCGATTGCCACTTTAAAACGGATAGCAACGGAGAATGGAGCTCCAATGCCTTTGGGAAAATTAATTATTTCTAGACAGGTACGTACAGGTAACAGACATATATGTCACAGTATTTTGTATTATCCCATGCAAGCCGTATTCCTCTGATGAAGACCTGTCAAAGCCCTGATCTGATTTCCATTTTTTTCCAACAGGAAGACCGAGGGAAAATGAGGGACCTTTTTACACCCCATTTTAGATGGACCACATTGTTACTCTGGTTTATATGGTAAGAAAGGATATAAATGGCTCCTTGCCAGCCCACTTCTAAATGGCTTTTAATGGTGCTGCTTTACAGTATCACGGCAATATAGTAACTTCCTCCTCAAAAAAAAAAAAAAAAAAAAAAAGAAAGAAAAAAAGTATTGATTTGTAATTTATTAAACCACCTAATCACTAGTATTTTAAGTCCAATTGCCTTTTCATTTTCTAAATGCTGATAGGAAATAGCTTTGAGGTAGCATTTCCTAAGACAGTGGGTTCAGTTTTAAACCCTGTTATTTACGACAGGTTTGTCCGGCTGAGAATTTCCTCTCTCCTTTTCTTCCTTGCAGGTTTTCCAATGCTTTTTCATATTATGGGTTAGTATTATTAACTACAGAGTTCTTCCAAGCCGGGGATGTCTGCAGCAGTGAGTACTAATCCATCTCTTCTTTCTAAATATGCCCTCTTAAGTGATGGGATGTCTTTTATTGGATCACCTTCTGCTGACAGTTTGGAAAACACTGTGGCTGCCAGGGCAAATTTTAAGACATGCATTTAAAAGGTTGCTTATTATAAACATTATTCATTCATTGTTCCTTGTTTCCTGCATAATGCAGAAAGGTCCTGCAGTGTCTCTGAAGCCAAATTGTGAAACTGCAATGCAACCTTCTAGGGAAATCTGCTAGAAAATGCATTCTTCTTTCTTGAGGAAAGGGTAATGGAATAAATGTAAGTTTCCAAATTCAGCAGGCCTAATTAGTTCTGAAATAGAGATAACTGCTGCTGCTGTCGAGCTCCTAGCTTCTCAAGATGGGAAGACCTGCTGAGAGAAGAGATAAGGCTGGGAAAGCAGCAGCAGTTCTGTTGAAGGTTTCTGCGTTCAAAAGTGCTTTGACTGCATCAAGAAGAGGCTTAAAAAGTTTGATTCCCTGGGGGAGATGTGGATGTATTCAGAGTACAAGTGATTAGTGAAAACTGCCTGGCAGTTGGAAAAATATGGAAAGAAGATGAGTAATACTGCAAGAGGAAGATGCAGATCCAGAGCGTGTACAGCAGTCTAATAGCTGTTTAGGGGTCTAGCTCTCGTGAGCATCACCAAAGCAGCATGCATTCTTTAAAAATACTTCTATTTATAAAGAAATAGTATTGTTCAGCCCTCAGAGTATAGATTAATGTTAATATCCCTATTTATTTAGGGAGAGACTGATTTAAAGGTGGTAATTCTGCTCACTATCATTATAGGCCTGTACTGTACAACAGCTAAACTAATGCAGATGACAAGAAAATAAAAGTTTTCATTCTGATAAGGATGCTTGTACAGCCCTGTCACAAATAAGACCTTTTATAAAGTGTTCAGCTCCAGCTCTGTCACTGATGTAAAACATACCTGCTGTGCAGCAGTGGCTTTTCACTACATCTGTTCTATCAGTTTCAGCAGCAAGACTAATAAAAGCGCAGCAGGAGCAGAGGGAGGTAAGCAGAGCAGACATTATTCAAAATATGTTTATGTTGTTTTTTTTATTCTCTCTCTCTCTCATAGTTTCCAGTAAAAGGAAAGCAGTTAAAGCAAAGTGCAGCCTGACCTGTGAGTATCTGACAGAGGAAGATTACACTGATCTGCTCTGGACAACCCTGTCAGAATTCCCAGGTAAATAGCAATAAAAAGCACCTGTGCTTCTTTGCTAGTAGCTCAGGATGGTTGCAGTGGGCACCAGTACAGAGAATAAAACATGCTCTTCCCCTATCCTGATACCAGTGTATTTCCTGCAGCTTTAGGGCTTCTTCCTTGGGCTACTTGGTGGGTGGATCCCAATACATTTATTGAGCCCCAGCGAGCAGCAGCTGTAGCTCTTTTGGCTGCCCATGTGATCCTTACAGATAAAATCACTGGTAATTGTTTTATGGAGCTAAAATGGTCTATCTGGCTACAGCTTCTATCTAAGCAGCATGCCACACATTCAGAGGAAGAATAGCAATTAAATCAAGGGGGCTGAATCATTTGATTTTTTTTTTTTTTTTAATTATTATCCATAAATGATTTGATTCCCCCTGGTCACTTCATTTCCTTCCATAGGTGTGTTAGTAACACTCTGGATTATTGATCGGATAGGCCGCAAGAAAACCATGGCCCTGTCCTTTCTGGTCTTCTCATTTTGCAGTCTTCTGCTGTTCCTCTGTGTTGGAAGGTAAGTCAAAGACAATTAACAACTGCTGTCGATTGATCTATGTTCTTTCCTGCTTGCGGCAGGAAGACTGAAAGTGATGATTTGAAAAACCAGCAGCTGGTCATGTTCTACTGGAAAAAAAGAAATAGAGGATGCTGTTAGATCTTGTTACTAGAGCTGTAAGGAGACTAAAGAAACAGGAGAGCAGAAATTCTCTCTATCCTATAATTTTGAATAACGAATAATTCGGAGGGGGGAATAAGAGCTTATATATGAACAGGCAGAAGACCTTGGGCAATCTTTTTTGTCTTACATGATGAGCCTAAGTAACTGCTTCACGTGCTGCTGTCTGCTATTCCTTGCCTAAGCTTTTCTCGGAGGACCCTATCCTAACCTCCAAGGTGATGCTTCCCAGTCAGGTCCTGCCTCTGTCTCCTGTTTAGCTGCTTCATTTGTTGCCACGAGTGGTCTTAGTGCTGAGGTGCAGTTATATGAGAAGCAGGAGGCCCAAGTGGGTGAGGCAGAAGTTTACCTAGAAGACAGTCTAGAAAACTGACACAACCCAGAAGCTGGTCACAGCACAGCTGGTGACCTTGGTGTTGTTGTGGCGGACACATGGGGCATGACTTTCAAAGGAACCTGGAGTCACATTTTGGTGTCTTCACTATTCCTGTGTTTCATGGATATATTCCAAAGGGTGAATCTATTGGCAGCTCTGCCCTTGAATCATAAAGATACCAAATTTCCCAATGAGTTTTGGGATTCTGTGTGTGGCTGCACGTGGTCTGAGTGGCACATGCAGTGATGGGTGAAGCTTGGGACAGGAGGACAAAGAAGTGACATGAGAGGCAGTGCAGAGCTCTCTGGATTGAACCTTTTCAGACACTATATGAATAATAGGCAAACCTACAAAACTACAGATATTTAAGTGATACCTAACTACATGCCTTTTGAAAGGAACTTGCAGTCTGATGCCTTTCTGATGTAGCCTGGTTTCTGCTAGCACTGCTCATATCTTAGGCATGTGCTGTTTATTTCAGTGGGCCACAACTGTCAGTTTGAATGAGTACAGCTCAAAAACTGATGTGTTTGTGGGGATGCAGGTTGTTTGGCATCATTGCTATATTAAAAGTCCAGGAAAAAATACAGTGTTCATTTAAAAATAAATAAGGATTCTTGCAAATTTAGCTTCCTTATTGCGCTTGCCTCCAAGTTAAGCAAACAGGTTGTATAGAACAATCCCAACCACTGCTCTCCTTTTTATTCTCACAGAAATGTTCTTACTGTGCTGCTCTTCATTGCAAGAGCTTTTATTTCAGGAGGATTTCAGGCTGCTTATGTTTACACTCCTGAGGTAAGGAGGTTGGTTTTTTGTCATGAGAATATTTAAGGGGTGTGAGAACATGGTGGGAAAGTCCATTTTTATGGAGTCTTCACAATGGACCTAACTCTGGATATAAGTTCACGACCTCATTGTAACTGTCTAGCAGAAATTTCTCTAGTACCACTCAGTGATATCTGTTGATTTAGGAGGTTGGAGGGCAGAGGAGAAGCTTCTCCCCTCGGATTAATGGGCTGATGTTTTGTTCACAGGTTTATCCGACAGCCACTCGTGCTTTAGGCCTGGGATCTTGCAGTGGCATGGCCAGAGTGGGAGCCCTCATAACCCCGTTCATTGCACAGGTAAAAAAACTCTCTCCTCTGGAGCCTGTAGGTGCGTGAAGGTGACAGAAAGAGATCCTGTGGGCTGAAAACCTTGGGAGGAGGCAGCAAGAGCCAGGTAGGAGGCTTGGAGGAGTCTGGCTCTGCAGGGACAGGACTTGGGAGCCTTGCTCCAAAGCAGCAGCTCTGCAGAAGGCTGGCTGGAAAAAATCACAAATTCTTACATTTGTTAATCAGTCAAATGTGGTGATAGAAAAGGATATTGTGAAAAACAATGTAAAGGAAAATTGGATTTAGGAAGAAGGAGATCTTAGGCAGAGGGGAAGACATAATTCAGGATGAGGAAGCTCTTGCTGCCCTGACAGAAAATTGCTCTTGCGAGAGACTCCTCCTAAGAGCCGAACTCTTCAGGAAGAGACTCATGGAGAAGGATCCAGACACTGGCTCCTTTGAGAGCTCCTGAACTGCTTCCTTAAATCTTGTCTAACACATAAGGGCAACAGCACTGATGGCACCTGTTGTCTGGGATATTTTACTAGTGTTTAAAGCTATGTGTAATCTTTGAAGAGGTATATTTGAAATATTTAGATTTTTTTCCGATAGAGTAGCTAAAATTTGTACCACTACAAGAGTGTTTGTGGGGTGTGTTTGTTCTTTTCTCTGTGCCAGGCTCAAGGGTGCTCTCCTGTGTTCCCTGCCCTTCTCCTCCCGCAGGTGATGCTGGAATCCTCTGTCTACTTAACGCTGGCTGTTTACAGCGGCTGCTGCCTGCTGGCAGCTCTGGCCTCCTGCTTCTTGCCCATCGAAACGAAAGGCCGGGGCTTGCAGGAGTCCAGCCACCGGGAATGGGGACAGGAGATGGTCGGGAGAGGATCTCATTCCCCCGGGGTCGCCAGGTCGGACTCTGGATCACAGGAATGACGGGATGTGAAATCCTGCCGGCAGGACGGCTGGTGCGAGCGAGGTGTTTCACAGAAAACCAAGCCCTGGGCACAGGGAGCGGATCCTACTGTCACTGCCATGTCCCACACTGCAGGAACTTGGGGTCGAACCAAAGCAAGTTGTGTTTCGACTGCTCTTTGCTCATAAAAAAAAATACATTTCTGTATTGAGGCATTTGATCCAGATATCATTTCAAGTTTAGCAGGAGGGGTTTTTCTCAAGTCTGTTGTGCCTGCATGGTCAGCTATTCAGCTTAAAATGTCCCGTGTCAAGCAAATAGCTAACTGAATGCAACTCAGTATAAGCTGTAACTAAAATAATGTACTCTTGATGCCTAAAAGCAAAAGATTAATATTTATTGTGTACCTGGCATTGAATACGGTGGATTCCATACACTACAGAATAGATTTTATGAATTAGATACCTGCCTTGCACTTTTTAGCCATCAAGCACCACAAGGAAATGTGATAACAGCAACCAACCACCGCTTTATAGTTCCCTTGCTTACGAGCTCTGTTCCTTGGGAACTAAGGCACTGCAAAAGAGATTGCTTGGCACCCGTTTTCTGAATGTTTCTCCCATCCAAGGCAGGTAGTTTGCATCAGTGAGGAGTGGTATTTGCTGCAAGGATGGAATGTTATGTAAGAAATATAAATTCCAGTGGTTTGGAGCAGAGTTTGACTTCTCTAAGTTTGCCAGCAACACGGAGCGCTCCTGGGTGCCGCGTGGTGAGGATTGTTTCAGCTGCACTGCTGTCACTGTGTGTGCAGACACACACTGGGGTTTTCTGCATGGGCCCACGTGTTTCTGCTCCCTTTCCTACGTGTGTCCTGCAGCGGTGTGGCCAAAACTCTCGATACAGACGCCTCGATGTGCACAGCTGCTTGTAGCAGGTTGGATGGAGCCGCCTTCACGTGTCTCCGGCCAGAAGCTGGTTCCCGACAGCCGGGCTCTTCAGTAGCTGCAGATTGTACGTGGACTGTGAGGTCAAGCTGGTAACGCAGGAATGTGGTCGGGATCAGGAATCCCGGGAAGAGCTGCACCACAACCATCCTTAGACGAGCGTCTTGGCTCCTTCGCATCTTGCCCCAGAGGTGACATGGGTGCTGCTGCTCTTGCTGGCAGAGGTGACGGAGCTCAGGTGAGGCCAAGTACACTTCATACCTGTGTGCACCTCTTGCTTGTCAGAGATCTGTCAGGTTGTGGAGGTTGTGGACATGCAGGGAGGAAATGGAGATCTTCCTCATCCACGCGTCTCGGTTTATTTTCAGGAATCCAAACTATGGAACACAACCAAATGCAAGTGAGATGGACTAAATGCTAATCGCCAAGCTGAGGGAAGCAATACATTTTTAATTATACGTGTGGTCGGTTGTTTCATAAATATAGGTAAGAGTGCAACAAATTTTGCACTGTGAAATATTTAAGGTATTCTGGGAACCAGGTCCCCTTTCTCCGGGGCAGGAATAGGTCACTGAGTCCGTAGTCCGTGTGTGTGCACGACAAACAAGCACAGTCAGGGTTCAGCTTTCACTGGGGCTCTGTGACACTGTAGTGCCGTGTGAGATGTGTTATCCAAGAGGTGTTAGGCTGCGTGTAGCCCTGAAGGAAAGGGACGAGTGCATGATTCCTTAAAGAGCCTGGGGAACCTCAGACTAACAAGAAAGGCCAAAGAGATTGTTAACATGGTGTGTGTGGGTATCTTCTGCTGGGAAAGGCTATGTTTTGACAAAGCACTGAAGTGACTTGTGCATCTGCTGCTTTGTGACAGTGACTGCAAAGGACTCCCGAAGCAGTCGATATGGGCAAGTGTTTCATTTTCAGTCACAGGAAAATGTAATGCAGCCCTTGGGGGCTCCGTAGGGGATCCCACCTCCGGGGGCCTGGGGAGGCTGCAGCCCCGGGTTGAGTTTCGTTATCTCTGTCTCTGCCCCGTGTGCAGAAGCCCCAGGAAGGCCGGGCCTGGCTGGTCTGCAGGAAGAGCAGGAATTAGTCCCCAATACCCGCCTTGTGTCCCCAATAACTCCCTGTGTCCCCCCTCCTGCCAGGCTGCCCCGGGTGCTCTGTGCAGCTGGGGTCTTCCCAGCCCTGCTGCTGGGTTGCCCATTACCCAGGAACTCCCTCAAAATTCTGCTTCTCCAGGGTCCACGTGCTCACCTGGCTTCCTTCTTTACTTTTATTTAACAGTTTTAAAAGGCTGCATTGCAATGGCCTTCAAAGTCTGCACTCGGTTTTGGCTGAAGTATATATGTCTAATAAAGTGGTGCATATGTATACTTCAAATAAAATATTTCCCAGGTAGATGTATATGCAATGCAAAGCCTTTTCATCCTGTTGAGTAATTCGGTTTAAACCTGTGACATTTACAGTATTAAAAAGAGAAAATGGAAGGCATTTTTGCCTTTCACTTTATATAAATTCTGCATTGAAAAGAAAAGGAAAAAAATGTATATAACGCTATGAATGCCGAGCTCGGCCCTGCTGAGACAGCTTCGCGTTCCAGGTTTTTCATTTAAGGATAGTGATGCCTAAAGCATGATCCAGAGCTCCCTGAAGTCTGAGCGTTCCAGTGACATTCATGGGCTTTGGATCTGCCCTTGGCAGCTGATCCCGCATCCCCAAAATCCCGAGGAGCCTCTGGGGCTGCTTGAGAGACAGAGCTAAGCTCAGGTTTGGCAAGTCCTGGAAATCATCACTAAGAGAAGGACATTTTAGAGCGTTCACTGAAAAAGCTGAAGAACACTTGGCTGATGCACAATAGCCTATAAATAATCACAAGTCATATTTTGTTAATATGGCAACACCGTTGATGTATATAATAAGCTTCCAAAGATTGTTTTACACTGTCGAGTATTTTTCACTGATGAAAGAATTACTATAGTAGCTTCATTTAAAACACTAAAGAGAGGTAATTTTGAATTAAAATTGAGAGCAAACAGGACTGTGTGATTCGGAGATTTGTTCGCTGTCCAATACATTAATGTGCCACGCTGTTGTGGGAAAAGTGATTCTCCAAGTGTGCTTTGACGGAATGATTTCGTGTTCCTAACTGCTTGCCGGAAGAACGTGGAATGTTTTCTCGTGTTTGAATGTACAGTTTCTAAGCTGGGTACATTTTAATGTTTAAAAACTTTGTGTATATGAAGCTTGTTGTAAAATACTCCTTTTGTTCTTATGTTACCGACGCAACACTGGATAGGTGAATTCCACACTAGATATTTTATGTTGAATAAATAAATAGTTTTTGCAGTAAAAAGGCTCTTGTCCCAGAGGCTGGTGGGGAGGGGCAGTAAGTGCCTGGGTTTTGTCCTGCCCGGAGGTTCCCCCGGCTCCTGCTCTGAGGACTTGGCCCCTGTGGAGATTCCCATTGCTGGGAATGGGAGCAGTTGGAGCTGCGGAAGGGCCTGGATTGCGGTGCGTAGGCGCTCGGTGTTTCCCCAAGCTCTGGGGTCCCTGTGGTTCCTGTTCCCTGGGCTGCCCAGGATATGAAGCCCTTCTTCCCACAATGCAAAATCTTTAGGAAAAGAAAGCAACGTGGCCAGGGAGCTTTGAATACCACTTTTATTGCTGCCTCTATTAAACTGTGGTGACAAGAAAATAAGCAAAAGCAGAATGCAAATAAAATTCCCCACCTACTCCTTTCTACGTATCTTTTTTCCAAGACACGATCCATGGCCATGCCCCGCGCGGCCCCTCAGGCTCTAGCTGAGTCCCCAAGGCCTCCTCTGGCCTGGCCTGGCCAGCATTAGCCCTTGGGAAGCGGCCTCGGCTGCGGGATGGGCGGACAGATGGACAGACAGCACCATCCTCAGCACCTCATACGCGGAACGGGTGAAACGGAGCGGCTGCCATCCCGCCAAGTGGTTTCTACTGAGGTGACACCACAGACCATTAGGTTTAACGTTATTCATTAAGGCACTGTCTCCAGCTATTGCCCCTGTTCCCCCCTCCCTGGATTTTGTGGCTTTGGGGTGAGCACAACCATAGGTGAGCTGCGGCTCCAAGTCGGAGCCGCTTTGCCAGGCAGCCTCGCGTCCCGACGTCCGCCTTGGGCAGGCTGCCCTCGGCTCCGAGCCTTTTCCATGCGGGACAGCTTTGGGAGCGGGAGCCGGGGCTGCGGCGGTGCCCGCGAGCGGCTCCGGCTGCTGCTCCGGCGCCTCTCCAGGCTGAGCCGACGGGAAGCTCGAGTGCGGGCGGGAGTTCTGGAGGCGACTGCAGCTATTTCGCACATGTTCTCTGCTATATATAGAACCTGGCAAACGCAGGGGCCTCAACGTCCTCCTCTTGCTGCTAAAAGCACCGCTCGGGAAGCCTGTTTTAGGGAGCCGGGCGCTGCCTCTGCCAGACAGCTACGCTAAGCAGGTGCTGCAGCCCCGGCTCCTGTCCCCGCGTGAACCTCACAAAGTGCCCGCAGCCAAAGCAGCTGCTTTTGGGTCCGTGCTGCCTTCCCAGGAGCTCCAGAGCTCTGTCCCGCTAAGGAGCTTTCCCTTCCTGGGGGAGCTGGCAAATCCCATCAGGAGCCGGGAGCCTGCGCAGCCGGGGGGGTCGCAGGTGCCTTCCAGCCCCTTCCCCTCGCGCCCAGGACCCGCAGCCGCGATGTGAGCCGGGCCCTGCCCGCCCTTTGCAGACGGATCCCTGGCCACGAGCGCAACTCACCACAGAGCAACAGTCTGTATCTTGAAGCTCTCGCTCCGCACAAGCCGAGCGAGGCCGGGGCGGAGGGAAGGTTGGTGACAGCCGCAGAACAGCCGCGTGCTGCAACGGAAGGGTGCCGCGGGGCGCAGCCACGGGTGATTTGCCTCTGCTTTCCTCCTACGATTCCTAAGCTACGGCTGCTAAAGCGGGGCGGGTGGACGGGCGGGCAGCTCAGAGGCGGGCGGCGCGGAGCGGCAGCCTCTCCTGCAGGATGTTGCTGCAGAGCCGGGCCGCAGCCATGGCGCAGCCCCAGTGGATGGTGATGCCGAAGCCGCCGTGGCCGTAGTTGTGGATCACCTGCGGGAGCGGGAAGGGGTCGGCACGGGGAGCAGCCGGGTGGCCCCAAACTCCCCATTTTCCAGCTGCCTTTCCCAGCACAGAGCTCCAGGAGGCTCTGGAAGGAAGAAGCAGCTTTGCTGCCGGAACCTTCCCGGCCTGGCGCGGTACCTCGGAGCGCCCGGGCCCGACGGCCTCCCTCTCCAGGCGAACGCTGGGCCGCACGGGTCTCAGGCCGCTCCACTCCTCCACGATGGGTGCATCCTGCAGGGCAGAGCACGGGAGCACAGTGCCAGCCGCTCGTGGGGCCGCCCCGTGCTGCATGGGCAAAACCCATCCTCGCTGCGAGCGCAGCAGCACCGGCACGTCTCTGAGCACGAGCAGTGATGGTTCGGAGAGCTCCTCTGTGTCCCCTCGTGTGCTGAGGGTGCCCTGTGTGCGTCTGAGCCTCCTGTGAGCCGGTGCCCGGGGCTCAGACACCCACCTGGAGCGCAGGCAGCAGCCGGCAGCAGCTCTCCCAGATGGCCCTGTGGTCCTGGGCGCTGTTCTCCTCGCTCCAGTTGCCCAGCTGGTTCACGCCTCCCAGCACGGTCACCTCGCTCCTGCAGCGGGATGCGCAGGGGACATGGGGACTGTGGGGACTCTCGTGATGCGGCTCCCGGGTTGGCTGCTCGGCCCCAAGAGCCCAGTGCTGGCGTTGACTCCAGGGGAACGTGACCATTCCGGGAGCCCCGGGCTCGCTAAAGTCCCAAGGCAGCTTCCCTGCGGATGGGGCTGGGAGCAGGGATACCTCCCTGGGATACCCCGCTCTGGAGCCGAGGGGATTGCAACTTGTGCTGTGTGTAGTGACCAATTGCCTAATCCTGAAATGTTAGTGCCACAGGAAGCGCCAGAAATGCAGCTCTTAAAAGCCCTCCTCGTGGCCACAGTGGAGCAGATCTTACCCTGGGATGATGTAGGGCGAGTTGTAGATTCCCGACTCGAGGTCGTGAGTTATGATGAAGTGCTTCACCCACGGAGCCCGCACCTGGGGGGCGAGGCGGCAGAGTCGCACGGACGCCAGGGACACAGCACAAAGCACCGGGCGAGCTTTTTTGCATCCTTTTATCAATACTGTTAAGTCTCTGGCCTCCCTCCCGAGAGGGGAAATAGCCGAAGCCTGGCGATCCCGAGCGCAGCGGGAAGCGATGCCAGTTTGCCGCCCCGAGGCCGGCGGGCAGGCGGTTTTTACACGAGTGCTTTTTGCCGGGGATGAGGCCATGTCTCACCTTTATGACCTGCCCGCGGCCGGGCTGCAGCGCCGGGTCGGGCTGCAGGTCCCCCGCGCGCACCCCGGTGCAGTTGATGACCACGTCGGCGCCCTGGTCAAACAGCTGCGGAGAGACGGGCACGGAGCTGCCCGCGGGCACCGGCCCCCGCGGCGCCGAGCACGGCCGCTGCGGCAGCTCCCAAACACTCCCCATCTCCCGAACGCACCCGCAAACCTGCGGGTCCCAACGCTCCCCATCTCCCGAACGTGCCTGCAAACCTGCAGGTCCCAACGCTCCCCATCTCCCGAACGCGCCCGCAAACCTGCGGGTCCCAACGCTCCCCATCTCCTGAACGCACCCGCAAACCTGCAGGTCCCAATGCTCCCCATCTCCCGAACGCGCCCGCAAACCTGCGGGTCCCAACACTCCCCATCTCCCGAACGCGCCCGCAAACCTGCGGGTCCCAACGCTCCCCATCTCCCAAACACTCCCGCAAACCCGCGGGTCCCAATGCTCCCCATCTCCCGAACGYGCCYGCAAACCTGCGGGTCCCAACACTCCCCATCTCCCAAACGCGCCCGCAAACCTGCGGGTCCCACGCACCTCCTGGAAAGATTCAACCTTCTGGTGGAAGAACTTCACTCCCCTCTGCATTAACCTGCAGGGACAAGTTCACTTGTAAAGCAAAGCCAGTAAAGCAGGTAAAAGCCCACCGTATTGCCCAAATTTGCCCCTGGTTCTGGGCTCTGACCCCTGTTCCACTTCCTTTCACCCTCAACACGACCCCTGTCACCCACTGGCTTTGCCTGGGGGGAGCCTGGTGAGGAGGATGAAAACTGATGTTTCCCCCCACCTATTTCTGGGGCGGAAAAAATGGGTGGGAAAAGGCAGTTCTTATTCCTCGGCGCGAGGTGCTCACCTCTTGGTGAGCCAGGGCAAATACCTCCTGCCCTCCAGCATGAGCGCCGTGTTGAACCAGCCATAGCTGCAGGCGAGCACCGGGAGGAAGCAGAGCGGCCGTGAGGAGCCCCTGCGAGGCTGCGCCGCCCCGGGAACGGCGCCGAAAATACCTGTAGCCAGGGAAGAGCTCGAGCTCTCGCGGTGTCAGGTGCCGGAAGCCCAGGACTATGTCCTTCCAAACGGGGTCCTGCAAAAGGCCGAGGAGTTTGGAACTCGGTAACAGAATTAAACCACCGTGGTGGAGACACAGGGATATAAGAAAGCAGAGGGAGGAGAGCAACATAGGGACATCTCTACTGCACAGACACCTTTGCTGCCTCTGCCATATGGCTGGGGTCTGACTGCATCAATTCACAGATCCTCTGCAGCCAGTGTCAGCCCTTGGAGGGCTCAGCCTTCCCTTTCACAAATATTCCACTGAGAAAACCAGGAAACATGGAGCTCCAGGAGATCCTCTCTCCCAACAACCCGCTGGAGGTTTCGCACGGGCCGCAAGCATCACCCTGCTCGTCCCCATCAACCTGCTCCTTACCGGGACGGGCTCTTTGAACAGGTTGTAGCCAGACACCAGGAAGAGCCCCATCTCCTCGGCCTCCGGCGAGCCCACGTGCCCCAGCAGGTACTCGAAGGTCTCCTTGTTCCAGAGCCTGCGAGACAAGCGCGAGGCGCAGCGTCCCGCGCAGCAGCCCTCGCGTTCCCCTGCAAACGTGGCGCGGCGCTGGGGGCACTCACGTCTCCTGGGGGCCGCGGCCGTGCAGCGCGTAGGGCTGCCAGAGCCCCACGGCGCCGTCGCTGGCGGTGCGCGGCGAGAGGCGCTCGGCGTGCACGGCGAGCTGCAGCGCGGGCGCGCGCGGGCCGCACTGCTCCAGCACGCACAGCGCCGTGGAGAGCCCCGCCACGCCGGCGCCCACCACCGCCACGCGCATCGCTCCGTTGTTTACTACCCGCGGGGCAATAAATAAATTAAATGCCCCTTTTTTTTTGCGCTGGCGAGGGGTGTGCGGGCAGCGTCGCGCGGCTTGCGCGGGCTCCCTCGGTACAGCCTGTTTACAAAGGCACTGCGGTCCAAGGTTTAAGGGCCTGGGCAGAGGGGCCGCAGCCGGGCCCGGCGCGGGGTCAAAGTCCGTGTCCGGGCTGTCCGGAGCCGCCAATCCCACGGGCAAGGCGGCGGCTGCGGCCCACGGGGACAGAGCGGCCCGGCCCGGCTGGGGGCCACGGGCCCCACACGCCGCTGCCGGGATGCGGGGGCAGCCGCGATGCCCGGCGCTCATTCTCGCTGCTGCGCGGCCACCAAAGGGGGGGTTTTGGGGGGCCGGTTCTGGCGTTGGCGCTGCATCCCCAGCCCGGGCCCCGCGTGCTGCCTGGCCGAGCCTTCCTCCCACACGGACACGGCTCCGGCCTCGCCGGGACCGCCCGGGGCAGCGGGGGCCCAGGGGACCGCGGGCCGCCCGGGGACCGCGAGGCGGGCGGAGCCGGAGGCCGAGCCCCGCGGCGGAGCCT